GGAGATAGGGTCTACCGCCGCACTACCGGACAATGCTTTATCTGTGAACGTAACAGCCATATGGCACAGTCCTGCCCCTTGAAAAAACAGACGGGAAACTTCCAGTCCCAGCGTCGTTAAGCACCACGACACTGGGACCCTCCCACACATCACAAGGATGCCAAACCCCAGGAAAGGCTTCCACGTCTCAACACCTCCTGCTGGATATCTCATTGCAAGCACACCCACAGCCTGCAATTCGAGCCACAGCTCTAATTGATAGTGGCACCACTGCTTCCTTCATGGATGAGGAATTTGCTCAAAAGCACTGTTTCCCTACTTCAACACTGGCAACCCCGCTCCAGGTGGACTCCATCCAAAAATGTCCCCTGCAGGGAGGCCCCTCCTCTCTCCAATCTTCTCCACTCACATTACAAATAGGGAAACACTGAGAACAAACAGCTTTCCTACTAGAGAAGGACCTGCAATACCCTGTAGTACTGGGCATGGACTGGTTGATCAAACACAGACCTCAAATATTGTGGGACTCAGGACAAATACACTTCAACTCTAACTTTTGCTCACTTCACTGTAATAGCCCTACATCCCAAACACCACCCACCTCCTTCCCTCCCTCTACCACTGCACTTCCACCACAATATCAAGACTTTTGAGATGTTTTTGACCCACAAGAAGCTGACAAATTACCGCCACATCGCTCGTGTGACATGGAAATTCACATACAACCAGGAGCAACCCTCCCAGTTGGCAAACTATGACCCATGTCACCTAAGGAACTCCAAGTCAAGGACTTTATATCCACCAACTAAAAAAAAAGGCTTCATATGCCCTTCCTCGTTACCCACTTCAGCAACGCCTATCATCGTACCACGGAATAATTCTGAGGAACCTAGGGTCTGCATAGACTACCGCCGCCTGAACGCAATTACCGTTCCAAACAGGCACACCATGCCACTCATTTCAGAGATTTTGGAATGTCCAGGCCAAGCACACATTTTTACCAAGTTGGACCTTCGCAATGCCTACAATTTACTGCGCATACACCCTGGCTACGAACATTTAACGGCATTCTCAATGAGATTTGGCACCTACGAGTTCTGCGTGACGCTGTTTGGTCTTTTAAATTCGGGACAATCGTTTTGCAGACTAATAAATGAAATCTTTCATTATTTCCTTGATGATTTCCTCATTGCTTACTTGGATGTTTTACTGATCTTCTCCAATGACCCTGAATCTCATGTTCACCATGTGCAAGCCGTCCTTCAGCACATGCGAGAACACCATCTCTCAGCCAAGCTAGAGAAATGTGAATTCCACACGACTTCTTTCATATACCTTGGCTACCGCATTTCCCCAAACGGGCTACAGATGGATCCAGAGAAAATACTAGCAGTACTATCCTGGCAACATCCTTGAACGAAGAAAGAACTTCAAAAGTTCTTGGGTTTCGCAAATTTCTATCACCGATTCATATCACACTTCTCTCGTCTAACCGCACCTTTGACTGACCTCTTGAAAGACAAAAGGTGCCGTCTCCATTGGCCACCCAACGCTGCAGCCGCCTTTATCTCCTTGAAATGCCAATTTACTTCAGAACACCAACTGATCCACCCAGATACTTCTGCACCTTTCATGCTACAGACTGACGCCTCTGACAAAGCCATTGGAGCTGTTCTCTTACAATCGATAAATACATCCACCGATAACCTCAGACCGGTGGTGTTCTATTCCCGCAAGCTGTCCAGCTCAGAACGCAGCTACACAATCTGGGAAAAGGAACTACTAGTGATCAAAGCTGCTCTTGAAGAATTGCGTCATTTACTTGAAGGCTCTCCTCACAAGATCCTCATCCAAACAGATCACAAGAACCCTGTGCACTTCACTTCTGCCAAAATCCTTAACCAAAGACAAGCACGATGGGCTCTGTTCTTCTCTCGTTTTCACTTTCAGATCGAGTATATACCCCCTTCGAAAAACCTTCTGGCTGACGCGCTATCCAGAAAACCTGAGTACTTCCCTGATAACGAAGAACAACCCAAACCCACCCCTATCTTACAATCAGAAATCGCGGCAGCAACCTCCATCTCTTCTTCATACAGCGATGACATCCGACATGCACAACAAACTGACCCCTTCGTACGCATGAAGAAAGACCAAGGAAGGAACAACTCCCTCCCTAACCCTTTTTCATTCGAGGATTGATGACATCCTACTTTACAATTGTGTCCCTTATGTCCCAGTTTCACTTCGTGAATGAATATTGCAACAATGCCATGACTCTCCCTCCGCAGGTCATTTCAGGGTCTACAAAACGCTGTACACCCTCTCTAGAGACTATTGGTGGCCTCGCATGTACCATGACGTCAAAACATATGTATTCTCTTGCCCCATGTGCCACCGATCCAAACAACAACAAGGAAAGCCACCGGGACTACTTCAGCCAATAGAAACACCTCCCGGACCCTGGCATACCATCTCGATGGACTTCATAACTGATTTACCCAGATCTAGTGGCTTCAACACCATACTAGTAGTCACAGACCTCTTTACCAAGATGGCCCACTTCATTCCCTGCACAGGACTACCCTCCGCCAAGACCACCGCCTCCCTATTCATCCACCATATTGATAAAGCACTTGGGTGGCCCCAGCTTTAATTTCAGACAGAGGCAGTCAATTCACGTCCCAATTTTGGCGGGAACTCTTGACCTTACTCAAAGTCGACCTCCGCCTCTCCTCGGCCCATCACCCACAGACCGACGGTCAAACAGAACGCCTCAACACCACTCTTGAACAAAACCTCCGCTGTTAGGCCAACTACCAACGGGATGACTGGCTCTCCTTTCTCCCACTAGCAGAATTCACATACAACAATTCTGTACATACCTCCACCCATCAAACTCCTTTCTTTGCCAACCTTGGTTATCACCCTTGAGCATTTCCCTCATCACTCCCCTCATCGCCCGTCCCCGCTGCTGGCAATTTCCTCAACAATTTAGCCTCGGTGCAGTCCATCCTTAAACAACAATTAGACAAAGCCAAGTCGATCTACAAGGATGTCGTTGATCAATGAAGACAACCCGGACCTGCCCTACATGTTGGTGACTGGGTCTGGTTGTCCACCAATTACCTCCCCCTCTCTGTACCCTCTCGCAAATTAGCCCACAAACGGGTCGGACCATTCCGCATTGTTGCTGAAATCAATCCCGTCACCTTTCGCTTGACCCTGCCCTCCTCCATGAAAATCCATCCAGTCTTTCACCGATCGTTGCTCTCTCCAGCTCCGCAATGACACCCCCTCCTCACCCAACTCCCACCTCCTCCACCTGTCATAGTAGACGGAGAAGAAGAATTTGAAATTGAACAGATTCTCTACTCTAGATTCCGAAGAGGATGCCTACAATATCTTGTACATTGGAAAGACTACCCTACCGAAGAAAGAAGTTGGGAACCCGCCTCCAACACTCATGCACCTATCCTACTATGACGATTTCACACTCGTTTCCCACATAAACCTGGAAGATCTCTGCCACGCACTCATCAAGAAGGAGGAGGTCCTGGAGGAGGGGGTAGTGTCGTGCATGAAGCCCCGCCAGAAACAGTGTCTCATGAGGAGACCTTGCACTTGGCACCCTGCACCCAAGAGTCGCGCCCCCCCCCCCAACCCAATGCAGGAGCAGCTCAATCCAGACAAGACGGAGGTCCTGTTGGTTGGGGGATCAGGCTTCGGAGAGGGTGGATTTGACCTGGTCCTGAATGGGGTTGCACTCCCTCTTAGGGACAAGGTCCGCAGCTTAGGAGTACTCTTCGACCCGGAGCTTTCATTGGAAGCTCAGGTGACAGTGGTGGCGAGGAGTGCTTTCCTTCAGCTTTGGCTGATTAATCAGCTGCGCCCCTACCTGGACTTCGACTACCTGGCGACGGTGACACACGCACTGGTGACCTCCCGCCTTGACTTCTGTAATGTGCTTTACGTGGGGCTTCCCTTGAAGACGGTCTGCATACTTCAACTGGTTCAAAATAGAGCTGCCAGGTTGCTGATGGGGACGGGGCGTTATGTTCACATGACTCCAGTCCTCCATCAGCTTCACTGGCTTCCCATTGAAGTCCGGGCCCAATTCAAGGTGTTGGTGATGACCTATAAAGCCCTAAACGGCTTGGGTCCTGGTTACCTGAAGGAGCGCTTACATCCATATATGCCTGACCGCCCCTTGAGATCTGCAGGAGAGGCCCTGGGGCGGCATAGAAATGTTTTAATAAATAGTAATAAATAATAAATAAATATTGCGTCTTCCCCTGAGCCCCAGCTCATTGAGCAAATGCCTGGACCTTTATCAGAGACAGAGAGTCATGAGAAAGAGGCAGAGCAAACTTCCTCTTCCCCTCCTGACGCTGATCTCCCCGAGCCGGAAACAGAAGACACTATAGGTGTCATAGATTTCTCAAAAGCTGAAAACAGGCGTCTTTTACGCAGATTTGAATACAAAGCAGACAGCGTAAAAGAGAGGAAATGCGTGACTTGGGCGAATGATCCCACGTGGGCTCAGAAAGAGAAGCCATTATAGGACTGACATCTGCTCTGCAGGAACCGCTATTAGGAAACTTATCTATAGTATCGTAACTCTTGTAGACAATTAACATTAAAGGACTTTAGTTTTATTGCTCTGTGGAGAGTTGAATGTTTATACAAGCCTTTCACAATACTAGCCTTCTCATTAAAAATACCCTATTTGGAATGGTCCCAGAGATATCTTTTAGGTGACAGAGAATTAAATGAGTGCTCCTGAGATGCTGTGAAAGAGATAAAGGTTTACATTACACTGTCCAGAATGTAAACATTTCAGTGTTGAGAAATTGTCTGCCCTTTGAGGGGAGCTGAGAAAGCGCAATAATTTTAAGGGAACAAGTTACTATTCTGGACTACATTAAGGATAATCATTTCAATCCCTGAAATTTATATTTTATCTACATTGGAGAATTTGTCAGCACAAATTTACTCACAGTTGTTCCAAAGTGAACTTCACATCTAGCAGCTCATCTTTCTGAAATTGAAAAAAATGGAAGAAAGGTAATGAAATGTGCAGGTGTTATGACTTCAAATAAAGCACTTCTGAACTGATACTGTGCTACTTTCGTGGGTTGAAAGCCTTTTTTGGGATGCTAGTGCAATTTATAAAAAATAATCTGCCAGCTAAATAAGGTCAGAGAAGCTCAACCAAGGCTTTTGAGCTGATTCATACTGATCTGTGTGGTCTCATTCAGCCACTCAGTCAGAGGTACAGATACTTTCTTTTTATTTATACACAAACACACACAGGCTCACACACGCACACATGCACCTTTGCACTAGGAAGATCTAGACAGCAGGATCAGTTCTGAGGGGACCAGGCATGAGATGTGAGCCAGGAGTAACTGCATAAACAGAAGTGCAAAGTGAGTTCAAACGTCAGTGAAGGGGGACAATGCCAAGTCTTTGATCCTATACCATCCCTTGCACTTGTCATTATAGAAAGTGAACTAGAAATCCTGTTGTCTCATGACTGGTCAATGCAACCTCACTCCCACACCTGACAATATGCTAATATACATCCAGTAGGAATGTGTGTGAAATCTAATGGGAGGCAAAAATCTAACCATGTTAACAACTGGATCCTCTATATTCCAGGTTAGCAGTCCTGTGATAGCGCTGACTGCTGTGGTGAATGCTGAGTGAACTCAGAAATATCCACCTTTAAGATAGCTACAAGGCATAGACTTTAAAAAAAATGAAAAATTGCATAAAATACATGATTTGCTCAAATTGGAATAGTGTGATTTGTGTAAATCACACAATCTGGCAAATTGGAAGCTAACACCAACATTATTTTAGTTCAATTTGCACAAATTCTACCAGAATGCCATAGTTTTTCGCTTACATATTGTGCAAGCTGTTCAGGATGTTGCACAAGGACTCTTACGAATATATGTCTCACCCATCTAAATGAACATGTTATTTTCTTTCTCACCTGTTCGTTCAGTTCAAAATGCTTGTAAACTGCTTCTCCAGGCAGGAGATGTGCTAGATCAAAAAGAACGTTGCGAAATTGGTCATCCTTGAAAGGACAATCATCATCACAGACTTTCAGTTCAAGTACATTCTGGAGATGGTGAAATAAGATAAACAGATGGTGAGCCATTTTTAAGAGAGCCTGCATTAGTGTGTGCATGAGAGAATCCAAGCCAACACCTGAGGTTCAGAGTGCTGTCTTTGTTTCTTATATTTATATCCCACATGTTTTCCTCTTTTAAAGGAGTTAAGATAGCTTACATGGTCCTTCTTCTCCTTCCATTTCATCCTCACCACAACCCGAGGAAGTAGTTTAAGCTAAGCATCAGCAAGTGGCTTAAGTTATCCTAGTAACTTGATGGTGGAGAGGAGACTAGAATCTGGATCTCCTTAGTCTTAGTCCAACACTCTCACCAGTACACTCCCCTGGCTCTCAAGCCAGCATTGGCAGGGACAGGGGCAGGCGAGTGCAGAGATCTTTTTCTCCAAGCGAGTCCAAACAGATCTCCTTGTGAGTAAGCCAGAGCCTTGCCGGAGCCTTGCTGTGCGGCGGCTTGCTCGCAAGATCAGTTTGGACTCACTTAGAGAAAACAATCTCCTTGCAAGCAAGCCATCGCATGGAAAATTCCACAAAAGACTGAGCCCACTAACACTGAACTGCGACTTCATGGGATATACTGTACAGGAAAGAGGAAAGAGTCCTCTTTCATTGGAAAGAGATAATTAACATTTCACCTTGGTCATACTCTGGATCCTAAAGAAGAAGGTTTCATTCCAGACTGGATTTCTGCAATTCGAGATGGTTTTTGTCCGAGCATCATGAAAAGAAGCTGTTGGTAACCTCAAAGTTACGTAACAATCTTTTCGGCTTACTGCATGATTAAAGGGATACATTTAAGAAAGCAGGTATAAACTATTTCGGGTATTATTTCTAGAAAGACATATGGTAAAGAATACTGGCTCAGTTAAAAGGAAGATGTACTACAAATAGTGGCCATAACCCTCTGAACTCAAGCTATTATGGGTATCATATTGAGGGCAGGATGAGCACAAAGGTGAGGGTTTTTCTGAGGAGAACAAACTGAGATGTCCCCAGGTTACCCTCACTCCTCCCAATGGCTCAGTCTTTACACCATGGAGTCAAAGCCATCATGGTTCTTTCCAAGCTGGCTGTGAGGGTGGAAGGAAGGCATTCTGAATTTAGAGACCCAGCCCTGATCTTCCAGTGCATTTCAAGGGCTCGAGCTGGTACTCCACATCCTCCTCCTCTCAATCTTATCCTAAGGATCTCTAGACACTTGTGAGCCGCCCCGAGGCTTCGGCGAATGGGGCGGCATAGAAGTTCCCTAAATAAATAAATAAATAAATAAATATAAATAAATAAATAAATAAATAAATAAAATAGACTCTACTGGCCATAGGATTGCAACCTTACTATTTTGTTTGTCATTTGGAATATATAATTATCATGGTTATGTCAGTAGAAGCAAGATAACAAACAGGGCCATGTCACTCCCATTTTTCTGCATGAAACCTGTTGGATAATGTTGGATAAACCCTGCAAGAGGGTTTTTGAATCAATACCATGACTACAAATAACCCCAAAAAATCCTGGTTTCCAGGTACAAAACAAGCCTGTTTGCATTATATTTCCACATGGTTAATATTTGAAAAGCATTAGAACTAAATTCTTAATCAATAATTCCATCTGGTGCTACAGTGGACAAGGGAGCCCAGTGGCCAGCTATAGTAAGCCAGGTTCTACCTGCAGCTCATGGGCAGGGGCTTCCCTCTTTCCCTTTCTTACAGCCAGCAGAAGCAAGCGCGGGAAAGGGGTTCTTCAGCTCTTTCGAAAAAGACAGCAGACAACATAGGGTGACTTAACCTAGTGCACTAATGGCAACTTTCACTCAACCTATTAAACCATGAAAATGAGTCATATACTGTTTCATTAATATTAAAAGTCATTAGCATTAACATGTCTTTCCCCAACATTTGGGGAGTTAAGCATCAGGCGTATGCTTCACTGATACTCACACACATTTGCTTGCCGGTGATTCCTTATTTGCATAATACATACAGAGAGCAAGTAGAAGGGTGATCCTTGTGCCTGAAAGACAACATGAAGGAAACAGAAAGACATAAGCACCCATGGTGCTTGTTTCTTGCCTTTTTCCTGGCATTGTTTAGAGCAATTTGCCATCAAGAGCCTAAAGGTGGACTGAGCTTGTTCAGCGTTTTTCAGGGACCACCAAATGTTGAGGTAAGTTGGAAAAGGAAAACAGAAAACTGGGAAGAGTGAATTGCCTTACTTGAACCCAACCAGTAATACTGTTTGGCTGACTGGGAACACTTTTTTTTATTTATTTAAAACATTTGTATGCTGCCTACTTGCCTCAGCACCTCTGTTAGTGGGAGAAGACATACTGCAATACTTCACTGCAGGCTCTTGTGCTGCTTATTAAACTCTGGTTGGTTGGTTGGTTGGTTTTCGCTTCAGGCAAAATATTATAATTATATTTATCATATCACTTAGATGCAGAAGTGAATAGTGTCTCTAAATGCTTTTAAGAATATTCCTGCTGTGAGAATAAAATGGAAAGGTGAAGGGCCGTATGAGCCACCTTGAGCACCTTGCAATAAAAAAAAGGTGGGATATGTGGGATATAAATGAAATTGGAAAAATATTTATATTATATCTGATACATAAAATGTATATTGTGGTTTCTGGAATCCCATCTCCCTGAATTTAATTCTTTGGAAGTGTCACTGGATAGAGAAACAATTGACCTTCCTCTAAAATTCTGGTTGGAATATGTCAGTGTCAGGGACTCCCAGAAGAGCAGCCATGGGAATGTATGCTTGGATCCACAGAGAGACACCTTTACCTTGAAACTCAGTACTTCTATTGATGAGAACAACCCAGGTAGATTCCTATGCAGTGTACAAACCTACAAGAGTGCTGCTGGGTAGAGGTATGTCAACCAACTACAAGTTTCTAGAACATACGCAGAGTGTTTTATAGGTTTCTAGTCATGTACACAGGAACAGGGTAGATGATGAGAAAATAATGGATACAAAAAGTATTCACAGACAAAACAATGTGAGAGATCTGCAGAGGGAATATGATACACTAGTACAGGAAAGACAGTGATTACAGAATATTGACATGACAGCAACTGGAAAGTCAGTGTGGTGTAGTGGTTAAGAGCGTGGGACTGGGACTCAGACGATCTGGGTTCTAGCCCCCTCTCAGCCATGGAGCCAACTGGATGACTTTGGGCTAGTCACAGACTCTCAGCCCAACCTACCTCACAGGGTTGTTGTGGGGATACGATGGAGGAAGAGAGTGATGTAAGCTGCCTTGAGCACTTTGTAGGAAAAAGGCAGGATATAAATTGAAAAATAAATAAATAAATAAATCAGTAAGGCTCATGAATTATTACAGGTCTTGGGTATGAGTTCAACCATGCAAATGAGAGTGATTGCAATACTGCTACAAAAACCAGTCAGGTAGCTTGCAGCTGCTAGTAGAAGAATTATCACGTTATCACTTTTCTTGAGTGCCTGAAGTGAGAGCATGTGTTCCGCATTCTGCAGAGGATTAACTTTGTAACAATAACACTTGGCTGCATACCAGAAGCATACAGCCAGGATGTAGTGGCAGTGTTGGCTTCTTTGCCCTCCAGCTTCTGGTTGTTCATCTCACCACACACACACTTCTCACTAAAGCTGATGGGACAAGCTCAAAGTGCAGGTTTGGAGCCTAGTCTGAGATGAAGCTGAGGCAGTAGGATTCTTTGGGCCCAGTGGATCCAGAGGCATTTCTGGGACACCCCATTTTAGACTTACCACTGACTGTAACAGTAGTTCTTCGTCGTGGCCTCATAAGACTGCAGTCACACTGTGCTTGCATTGCCATTTTGCAAATGTTATTCTTCCAAATAATGCATCGCCTCCTAGTACATTCAAAGATCGGATGACATCTTACAAACAAATGCATGTAACAAAAGCTCTTGTAAGGAAAAGCTATTCTGGATGGGGGCCATCTCAAGCAGAGAGTGACAGAAGTGAACCAATCATTCCTTTCCTGGTCTTCAAGAAAACCAACTTTAACAAATTCAGAACAATGATCAGTGAAGTGCCCTGGCAACTTGCTCTTAAGTGAAAAGGAGTCCAAGGGTGGTGGGAAATATTGAAAAAAAATTCTCCAAGCACAACTACAAACAATTCCAACAAGAAAAAAGTGAGGAAGACAACAGAGGAAGTCCATGTGGCTCCACAAAGAATTAAGTGACAACCTGAAAGAAAAAAGTGCATGTAGAGGTGGTGGAAGGAGGGTCAGGCCGCAAAGGAAGAATATAAACAGATAACAAGGAATTGCAGGGATGGCTAAAGCAGGAAATAAACTGAAACTACTGAGGAATGCTAAAAGCAGCAAGCAGCAAGCAACAGGAAAGCCTTCTTCAAATACATCCCAAAGAAAAGACATATGAAAGAGAAAGGTGTCCAACTACTCAAAATGGGTGGCAAAGTGGTAATAGACAACAAGGAAAAGTTGGAGGTGTTTAATTCCTACTTTGCCTCAGTCTTCTCCCACAAGAAGATCTACAACCTACATACTGAAGAGAAAGTACAAACTGAAAGTGCAACCTAGGATTGACAGACAAAAGGTGAAGGAATATTTAGATAGAATAAACATGTTCAAACCTCCAGGGACCAATGAACTTCATCCCAGAGTCAGAAAAGAGCTAGCAGAAGAACTCTCACTGTCCATTATCATTGATAAATCATGGAAAACAGAAGAAGTGCAGAAGACTGGAGAAGAGCTAAGAATAAATTCTGTCAGACTAATTTAATCTCATTTTTTTACAGGATAATCTCCCAGATGGTCAGAGAAAAATACCATGGACACAAACTATCTTACTTTAGCAAAGTTTTGGCATAGTGCCCCACAACAACCTGATAAACAAGCTAGCAAAAAATAGACTTGATAGGTGGATCCAAAATTGGCCACTAAAGCAGACACAAAAAGTGCTCATCAATGGCCCCTTCTCAAACTGGAGGAAGGTAACCAGTGGGGTGCCCTAGAGTTCAGTCATTAGGCCCAGTGCTCTTCAACATCTTCATTACTGACCTAGATGAGAAAGTACAAGAAATGATAATCAGATTTGCAGAGCCGCCCCAAGGCTTTGTTGCGATGGGGGTGGCATAGAAATGTTTTAAATAAATAAATAATAAATAAAGATTCAAAACTGAATGGATTAGCTACCAGCCTGGAAGACAGAAGGAGGATCCAGGGTGATCTAGATGAACACTGGACTGAAATGATACCCAGTATGATATTCAATAGGGACAGATGCCAAGTCCTCTACCTAGGAAAAAGAAACTAGATGCATCAACACAAGATGGGGAATACATGGCTCAACAGTAGTGAAAAAGAAAAGCAGCTTGGAGTTAGTGTGGACAGAAGGCTAAATATGAGCCAACAATGCAATGTAGGAGTAAAAAGGACAAATGCTATTTTGGGATGCATCAATAGAAGTATCACTTCTGAATCATAAGTAATATTTTCCCTATACTCTACACTAGTCAGACCTTATCTATAATACCGAGTCCAGTTCTGGGCACCAACATTTAAGAGAGATACAGAAAAATTGGAAAGGGTTCAGAGGAGGCTAACAAAAATTGGAAACATTGCCATATGAGGTGATACTGAGAAAACTGGGTATGTTCAGTCTTGACAAGATTGGCGGGGGGGGGGGGGGGGGATATGATATCACTCCATAACTACCTGAAAGGCTGTCACAAAGAGGAAGGTCAAGATCTCTTCTCACTCAGAGTGTAGGACATGGGATAATCAACTCCTGGGTTGGATTGGGTTGGTTTTGTGGGGTGAGGTTTCACTACTCCAGTTCATGAGTACATATATATTTGTCCTGCCCAACTTCCCAACCTTTCTGTGTGCCATTTTACAATTGACTACCTGTATACTATCCCCAGGAACTAAAGTGGGAGAAATTTCACAATTTGGGTAGGGTCACAATTTGAGGAATGCAGGTGGTGCAGTGGTTTAAACTGCTGAGCTACTGGGCTGGTTGATCGAAAGTTTGCCGGTTCGAATCTGCACAATCTGTTGCTCCATCCCAGCTCCTTGCAGTTCAAAAGCATGCAAATACAAGTAGATAAAAAGGTACCACTTCGGTGGGCAGATAACAGTGTTCCATGCACTTCGGTGTTTAGTCATGCCAGCCACATGACCACGGAGACTGTCTGCGGACAAACGCTGGCTCCCTCAGCTAGGAAACGGAGATGAGCACCGCCCCTAGAGTCAGGCATGTCTGGACTTAACGTCAAGGGGAAACCTTTACCTTTACACAACCAAATGAAAAGGATGCCTTCCAGTTATCTGCCTCATTTGTAGATTAAGAGTTTCATTAGAATATATCTGAATTAGAATATGCATTATTGTTTTTTGTTTTTTATTATTTTCATAATTCAAAGAAGAAATAAAAGAAGAAGAAATGCCCCAAGGAACCTTCACAAATATTACATATTGTACCAGATTTGGGAAGTTTCACAAAAAGTCAATAGCTATTATTACTTCTGCCAAATTTATAACTACATTTGTAATATTTAATTAAAACTAATAATTATTAAATAGAAAAATGTTTTGACATAGGTACCAAAAATAATAATTCACCTCATAATATATCCAGAAACCCACCAACAATTAGAAATTATTTTCTTTTTTTCCAAATAAACCAATATCATAATAAAATAATTAAATTCATAAAATGATTATTCTAATTCATAAGACTTAATACTAACTCTTTTTCCAGTCCTTTTATGTTGTTTTTGTATTGCAATTGTGATTCACTGATAACATGTCTATAGCTTCTGCTTTTTTTTTCTTCACAGTTGCTATATAAAATATATGTAATGCACTTTCCATTTATTGCTAGATTCTTTAACTGCTATTGCATTTACCTAGCTGGTCAATAAATGTGTCAGCTATGTTATCCTTACAGAAGTTCTATTTTTTTCTCAATTGTTAAATAAATTATGTATGATAAGCTTTTCATTTATCATAAAATTCTTTGGTCTATCTTCTATTCATATAGCTGGTTAATTTTGTCTTTACTGCATATTCAGCTAGTTTATCTTTCCAATCTTCACTCATTAAAGTCCGGACCCAATTCAAGGTGCTGGTTTTAACCTATGAAGCCCTGAACAGCTTGGGATCAGGATACCTGAAGGAGCACCTCTTCCTTTACATGCCCTCATGCCCCTTAAGATCTGCGGGAGAGGCTTTGCTCCAGGAGTCCTCTTTAAGGGAGATAAAAAGAACAACTACCTGGAGCAGGGCCTTCTCTGCAGTGGTGCCCAGATTATGGAATGTGCTCCCTGGAGAGGTGCACCTGGTGCCGAGTTTATATGCTTTTCAGTGTCAGGTTAAAACCTTTTTATTTAATTGCTATTTTAAAAATTAATATTTTATCGTTAACAGTTGCTTTTTCATTTTTGTTTTTTATATAATTTTACGGTATTTGTTATTGTTTTATTGTTTTAATTGTATGTTTATGAGCCATCCCGAGATGCCAAGGCATGTTGTAACAGAATATAAAAGTTTTAAATAAATAATAAATAGTTCAGCAATCTTCCGCTTTCTATTGCATTGCAATTGTAACTTTAGCTGCTGTTATCATGTATTTAAATAACTCCATATTTCTTGGAAGAGTTTCTGGTGTAATTTTCAGTAACATATTCTTAGGAAAGTTGATTTTCAAAATGTTATGTATTCAGCATGTATTTCTTACCAGATTTTGACTAGAATATGTATGGTTGTTAACATCAGCACTTACTCATCTAAATGTCATTGTGCTATTATAAGGATGAATTATTTTCTAATTTTTGTGAGATATGGCTTATTGATAGTATAAAATAAAGAAATAATATTGTTAAAATGCAATCAATATAGCATTCAACTGTTGGACACAATAAATACTTAACACATTAACATTTTTTTAAAATGGCAAAACAACTATCTAATGTAAAGAGCTAACTGTAAAAAGATATTTCTCACACCCTTTAAGAGCCAAGAAAGAAAATAGAATCTTTAAAGTGGAACTACAGAATCCATGTGTCAGGATCCATTTCCTGCTGAAGAGAAATACCCTTTTTACTAACTTACTTATCCATGGCACAGACCCCAAGAGTCAGCCAGCAGTCAACGTTAAATCCACAAACACCATTTTGCGAGGTTGCTCTCTCTCTCTCTCTCTCTCTCTCTCTCTCCCCCTCCCTCCCTCTCTCTCTCTCTCTCTCTCTCTCTCTCTCTCTCTCGGGATCTAAAGCATGTCACCTGGTGCTGAAGCCCCATCTTACCTGAAGCATGTCTGCTAAAGAACCCATATAACTCTGATGCTCACTGTGCAGCTGCAGTAGGTAGTGCTTTATCTTGGAGGCCAAAGCTGACAATCATCCTTAGAGTCTTCAGACCAGTTGAGGAGGATGAACACGTATTAAATTACTCAGAATGCCACCCCCGCTTGAATTTAGAAATTACAATAAAACACTTCCCCCTTTCCACATTCTCTCCAGATGAATATGCCTGGGGCTGGAAAAGGTATGCTTGTCTGCTTCTTGAAGCCACAGAAAATATAACATTTCCTCAAAAATTTAAAGGAGGAAACTCTAAACGTACATAGTAGATCATTAATATGTCAATCAACAAACTGAGCATGTTCGCTCTTAAAATTCTAGTCTGTGAAATGAAGAATTGTCCCTTTCATGATATTTCCATGCTGTAAAATACTTCATCTGCTCAATGCAGATGTTCATGAAACAGGATTTCTGAAATATAAACAGTAGATAACTTGTTTCGATAGACCATATGTACAGAGCTTGCAGTCACAACTGTTGTAACAGGGTGAAGCTACATTGGCAATTACAAGGTGCGGTTCAAGTATTGTCAGTGGCTCTGCCTTTGATACATAGCACCAGTAGTGATCTGCATAACGACTTTGGTCCAATTCAGCATGGCTCTTCATTCAGAATTTTAGAACATGTATACTAGCATTTGGATTGCTTTTTCTCACCCTGTTTTGAAAATGAAAGCTATAATATTGGCCATCTGTTGATGATCTCAGTCATGGAGACCTCCAAAGATGGAAGTGTGCCCATGATAATGTTAATTTTTATAACACTGTAGTGAACTCCTGCAGCACCCCAATGCACCCCTGTCCATCACTGGCCTAAAATATTTTAAAAGGGAATAATTCCAAGCTAATTTAGGGCTCTTTTGCACTCCCTTGCCAATGCAGCACAAGCCTTGACGATACTTCTAGTTAGTAAGGCAGGGAGGCGAAGGAGAGTGCCACCATGGATGAGAAAGGAGGTGGTAAGAAGGATTAGATGCAAGAGGAACCTCCATAGGAAATGGGCACTGGGGCAAATAAACAAAAGTATACCAGGAGGAGGAAGTCCGTTGCAGAAGGATTCTTTGCAAGGCTAAGGCTGATTACGAGCTGAGACTTACAAAGAATATCAAGAGCAACAAAAAGCGCTTCTATCAATATATAAATCACAAGAAGAAGTGGAGACAGGTAGTGGGACCACTAAATACAGAAGAAGGGGATCCAGTGACTAATGTGACGGAACAGACACAGATGCTAAATGACTATTTTGCTTCTGTGTTCTCCCCAAAGCAGGACTGAGGAATCCACACGGGACATCAGATGAAGTCAGGGGCTTAGGGCCACAGATTAGTCACCCCCCTAGAAGTCGAGGGGCTCCTGAGGCACTAGACATTGCAAAGGCACCAGGCCCTGACAGGTTACATCCAAGAGTACTTCAGGAGTTGGCGGGGGTTCTTTCACACCCGTTGGCCTCCATTTTTGAAGCCTCGTGGAAAGCAGGTGAAGTTCCAGAGGACAGGAGGGTGGCGTCAGTGGTCCCAATTTTCAAAAGGGATAGTCGAGGGGACATGGGGAATTACAGACCAGTTAGCCTTATGTCCATTGTAGCAAAAACAATGGAAAGGCTCATAATAGCGAGAGATCTAGTAATCCTAGATAGGGAAGGGAGGCTAGCGGCCACACAACACGGCTTCCGCAAAAAAAGGTCCTGCCAGACAAACCTTGTGGAATTCTATGACAAGGTTTCAAGGTGGCTAGATGGAGGGGATGCAGTGGATGTGGTTTACCTGGATTTCAGCAAGGCCTTTGACAAAGTGCCCCATGATATCCTGGTTGAGAAATTAAGGAGTTTTGAGATAGACCAATGCACTGTCCGATGGATTAGGGCATGGTTGACTGACCGAAAGCAGAGAGTAACCATTAGTGGGGAATCATCAGGATGGCAGCCAGTGACAAGCGGGGTCCCCCAGGGCTCTGTCCTGGGGCCGATCCTGTTCAATCTTTTCATCAATGACATGGAAGAACGGGTGCACAGTCTGCTGATCAAATTCGCAGACAATACTAAAATGGGAGCAGTGGCCACAACTGAGGAGCAGGTACTCCAGATCCAGAAGGATGTGGACAGACTATGGAAGTGGGCAGGGAACAACAGGATGGCGTTCAATGTGGATAAGTTCAAGGTCTTGCACTTGTGGCATAGGAATGGGTGTCATAAATACTGGTTAGAGGACAAGTGGCTGGAGAGCAGTACTTGTGAAAGGGATCTTGGGTTACTGATTAACTGTAGGCTAAACATGAGTCAGCAGTGTGACACAGTGGTCTAGAGGGCAAACAACACCCTTAGTTGCATAGCCAGAAGCATGGCTTCTAGATTGAGAGAGGTATTACTAGCACTCTATACGACTCTGGTGCGCTCGCAACTGGAGTATTGTGTTTAGTTCTGGGCCCATCATTACAGGAAGGATATACTCGTAGCCAGGTTAGAGTCAGTGCAGCGTAGGGCCCAAGGATGGTGGCTGGATTCCAGGGAAAGCCATAAGAGGTGAGACTGAAGGAACTGGTCTTTTCAGCCTGGAGTAGAGGAGACCCCGAGGGAATCTGTTGGCAACATATAGGTACGTGAGGGGGTGTCACACAGAGGTGGGTAGAGACCTGTTCTCCCCTGCAGAGGAAGGTGGAACACGCTCCAATGGAGCCAAGCTCAAGGAACCAAGGTTCAATTTGGATGCCAGGAAGTACTTCCTGACAGTTAGGGTCCCAAGGGTATGGAACAGGCTTCCACGGTAGGTGGTTGAGGCCCCATCGGTGAGGGTGTTCAAGGATAGAATAGACATGCACATGGTAGGCATGTTGTGAGAGGAGCTGGCTAAAGCCAGGAGTCAGACTAGATGGCCCAGGAGGTCCCTTCTGACTCTCTCTGTTTCTGTGTTTCAGATATTCAGCTGTAACTCAATTTAGATTATGTTTGCTTTCAGCACTGGGTATGACTAACCCTGCCAATTCTGAGTATGCATGCTTAACAAAGGAGGTAATATCTTTGACAGCTTTGAATGAAATGAACACACATTTTTTAATCATAGTCAATCAATAAATAGGAAACGGACAATCTCCTCCTATTATATTGTTATAAATGACTGATGCATGAAGTAAGGTCTCACAACCATGTAGTTCTAGTTTGCAATGTTACTTCATTTGAGATCAGTACTGTCCTTTGCGTCTTCCTTGCACCAAAGAAAAAAAACAGAATTTTGTTAAAAGAATTCTACGTACCCTTGTCATATAGTCAAACTCTGTAATAAATTAAGTCATGGTTTTTCAGGGCCATGGTAGTTCCATGCCCACCACCATAAAAATGAAACACACACACACACACACACACAGAGGGAGTGAGAACTTGGTTGTGGAAGATTAGCATGTTTTGTCTGAGTAGTACAGCTGAGTACTCCAGCTGCTAACTCTTGGATGCAACACTATAGTAACATCTTTATTTGTTGAGCCAAATATCTCCCATCTTGTAATTGTGGCTTTGATCCCCTTGTCCTTGGCATTTGTCTGCATTAAATTTAATCCTTTTGGTTTCAGCACAGCACTCCAACCTACCATGACCTCTCTGAATTTTATTTCCTTGCTTGTTTTATTATATCTGTTTGAAAGCCACCCACTAGCATCACACTTTCTTTCTTTCTTTCTTTCTTTCTTTCTTTCTTTCTTTCTTTCTTTCTTTCTCTTTCTTTCTTTCTCTCTCTCTCTCTCTCTCTCTCTCTCTCTCTCTCTCTCTTTCTTTCTTTCCTTTTTTTCTTTCTTTCTTTCTCTTTCTCTCTCTTTCTCTCTTTCTTTCCTTCTTTCCTTCCTTCCGTTAGCTATCCTAACCAATTTTATGCCATCTTCTGTTTGTTACCTCCAGTGCTTCCCCACTACTTCTTCCCTCTTGTTTCTTCCCCCAAATCATCATCATCATCCCCCCATTGAGGAGGAAAAGACAGAATAAGGGTATGTTGCTTTTTGACTGATATTGCTAGAAGCCCTCCATCAAGCAATACCCTGAGCTGACCTAGAAGCTCCTTTGTTACTCTTATCTTGGAGGATCCTAAAAATGAACATGCAAAACAAAAGTCACATGTAATAGAGACCTCCTCATTACCACAACTATCTAAGTTTTGGACATGTGAGTACCCAGTTTTCTGAATTCCATTGCCTCTCTTACCCAAATAACCATAGTGATGAATTAATGAACAATACTTTAGAAAAAAAGCCAAACAGGGGATAAATTTCATGATGAGAAAATAAACTCTTCACCCTTCAAAACAAAGCCCCATTTCCATGACTGGGAATAGGCTTTCATGCAGGGAAAAACTGTATCTGGGTCAAAGCTTGGGCAGGAAAGATTGCCATTGCTGTGGCTTGGCTTTCCGATATCATCTCAGACAATGCCAGCTGCGTACAGCCCCTTTAAGACACTGATTTCTAATTAGCATTAATTGGTTGGGTGCCACCTGTTTCTCATGTTTTATGGAGCTGTTTTCTGTTACCTTTTAATTAAAAAGTTATTTTTAATCTTATCTCATTGTTGTTTGTCACATTGGTTCCTCCTGCTTGCAGTCAGGAAATGGCAACAGGTACTGAGGCTCTGTCAGATACAGAGGCACAGTCCTCTCACTCTCAGACTAGAAGTCCTCAAGTTTCCGGTATATGTTCCCTCACTCAATTTGCCCCAGCCAAAAGCAGCTCAATAGTGTTCCAAATGCTGTTTGTAGGGATGGGAGGTGTTTTGATTCAGTTTGTGTGTGTTTTAGGAAGAACCAAGCAACATTTCCAAATTTGCTCATAAATGGAAAGAACTTAAGATCAATGAGGTAGAAAGAAAAAATAAATGGGTACAATTTAAGAACTGAGAAACCAAAACTGATTGAATTGGCCATCCAGGCTCAGGGATCTGAATGTTTAGCTTACTGATTCCTATATATTCAGCCATGTTTGTGGGACTGGATTGTACTCCAATCTGGCTTCAGGCCTGGTTATGGGACAGAAACTGCCTTGGTCACCCTGTATGATGACCTGTGCAGGGAGAGGGAAAGGGGGAGTGTGCCCCTGTTGGTTTTCCTGGACCTCTCAGTAGCTTTCAATACCATTGACCATGGTATCCTTCTGGATAGGCTGACTGAGTTGGAGATTGGAGGCAGTGCTTTGTTGGCCGATTCCAGAAGGTGGTGCTGGGGAATTATGGATCTGCACCATGGCAGTTATGCCATGGAGTTCTGCAGGGTTCCATTTTATCTCCCATGCTCTTTAACATCTACATGAAATCACTGGGGGAGGTCATTCAGAGGTTTGGGCTGCATAGTCATCAATACACTGATGACACCCAGCTCTACGTCTCTTTCACATCTAATCCAGGTGAGGCAGTGGCTGTCCTTAACCAGTGTCTGGCTGGAATGATGGACTGGATGAGGGCCAATAAATTGAGACTTAATCCAGACAAGGCGGAGATCCTGTTGGTAGGTGGTTCAACTCTCCAGGTAAATGATCTTTGCCTTGTTCTGGATGGGGTTGCCCTCCCCTTAAGGGACAGGGTGTGTAGTTTGGGAGTACTCCTCAACCCATAGGATCACAACCACAGTTTCTTGCATATGTTAACAGCCAGACAAGAAGACAACAGATGTGTCTCTTTATGCACAGCAAAGGTACAAAAGCTCTGGAGTCAAATGCAATTCTGGAAAAATTTTGGAGGACCACATTCCAATTTGCCAAAGGCAAAGGGACTGGCCTAGAATGCCAACAATACTAGCACATCTAGCTTAAACATGTTTATTGTCAGTAAATAAGTCTGAGGAGAAACAGAACAGGAAAGAAAATCTCCAAAAGCTGGGAAACCACAAAATGGAAAGGCAGTTTAGACATGGACACAGGCCTAAAGTTCTACATTCCTATATATCAAGTAGGGTCTGATTTTATGAGCATACAAGTGATATAGATGACTTATCCGTACTCATTCCATGAAGTTTCTCTGCAGGAACTTTTCTCCCAATGAACTAACTTCTGAGGCAGGGACTTATAACATCAGATTTGCATGTAAAGAGACAGATCTGCCTTGTCACATGACCTTAAGGAGTTTGGCTGCCACACACAGAAAGCAGTGGTGGGTTGGGCCAAAGTGAGAATTGGTTCTAAGTTGTCCTAAGTTACAAATGCAAGCCCATCTTTCTTTTTTAACTATAGATAGATGTGAAGTATGAGCCACACATACCATTTCAACTAAAGACAATGCTCATGTCACGTATAACTTATGAAATAATCCTCATTGAATTCATCATACAAAAAAGGTATCCAAAGTTTTCACACTATAATAAGATGATAGTCAGGATTTAACAATTGCCTGTTTGCTCTGTTTTTCATGCCTCTTTCCTTCCCTTTCAAACTAATATTTTAAGTGCTTAAAGCAGGGGTCCTCAAACTTTTTCACCAGGGGGCCAGTTGAAAGGTGCCGGTGCTGGGCACAGGCCAGAAAGGTGGTGCTGGTGGTGCACGCAGGCCGGCGAGGGGGCAGGGGCAGGGTTGGGGTGCGCAGGCACGGTGAGGTGAGTGAGACAAGGCACGGGCGCATGGGTGCACACGGTGAGGGAAGGGGAGGCACGCGTGGCGAGGCAGGTGCGCAAGGCAGTGGCTTGCTCACTTGGAGATTGTTTTCTCCGAGCGAGTCCAGAACAATCTTAGCACGAGCAAGCCACTGTCTTCCCGCACACGGGGTGAGGCACACACTTGGCAAGTTCAAAACCTCCGAGGTGGGCCAGATAACGGGCATGGTGGGCCAAATCCAGCCCACGGGCCATAGTTTGATGACCCATGGCTTAAAGAGTCACTTCCTCCTCTGTTCCTTAATATCAAAAGAGTCCTTTGGGCCAAAAAACAAAGGAATGCAGGAAGAATCAAAATGTCGCCATTGCATTTCTTATGGTGGAATCTGAGGCAGGTTTGCTCATGAGTGAGTCCCCCTAAGTTAAATATGACTTACTCTCTAAGAAGTAAGCTTCAGACTAAAGCCTGTTGTAGGGTTTTGAGCCTAGACATCTTCCTTCAAAGGAAAATCAAAAAGCTTGATGATATATCAGGATAAGGGAAGCCGGACAACTGGTGAAAGCCCAATGGCAGTAGTACAAAGGAAGGAGGAAGCCTTAAAGAGTCGCACAGTTGCATACAGATTTCACTGTCTGCAACATCTTTTCCATTGTATAGCTGTGGACAAAGCTTCAAAAATCAAGTCTCTGTTATTCCGGATGTTGTAGTCACTCAGTTTCACAAGTTTGTCAAAGTCCTTCTCTGAATAGGTGAAATTCATCAGATGATACGGTGAGTAATATCCAGAAAGGGGAACTGTACCTTCTGCCATCTCCATTTGACCACGTTCTAGCCCTACAAAATGAGAAAAAAAATCCTACCTTCATTAGTTGATTTGCAGGACTTCCTCGCTTGCTTGCACCCCATCGTTCTACCAATCAATGGTACTCAAGAGGCAACCAAGATTTGGGAGAATGTCTCATGCTAAGCGAGATTATACATTTATCTGTGGTCTGTTGTCATACTACCCATGTGTGCTATATGCCACAGAATAATTCCATAGATTAAAAAGCAAAATGTACCTGGTTCTTTAAATTTCTGGAACGTATCATTTACAAGTGGGAAATGAAGTACGATAGGGGCTTTTTTATTCTCCTCATCTACAAATAGGTAACATTCTCTAGGATTCTTCTTGTCTTCCTCACTCAATAAAATCTTCGGAAAAGGAATTCCCTGCTCCAAACAGTAATTTTTGGTCTGTTCAATTGACTATAACATAAAAAGAGAAGCTTATTTTACCTCCTAAAAATAAAGGCTGTCCGTTTTTTATTGATTTGTTTGGTTATTACATTTCTGCTCTGCCCAGTAACAGAAACTAATAAATGCTCAATTATGTAGCCACAAATGTTGGGGTATGGTTGCACCAAATGAAATAAAGAAAATAAATAATTTAAAAATAATGAATATGCATTTAACAGAATATGCACCTCAAATGCCTACAGCAGAGTGAGAGAGAGAATCAGCAGGAAAAATGAATAATCAAATCATCAGTTTTAAGAACAGTCCCCCCATGTGCCCCCAGATCTGTTCCAGAGGTTTTCCCAGCAGACCTGTGGGTGTACCAGGAGCTGCATCAAGAAGGAGGCACCTGTTCTGCCAGCTGTGTCCATTTTACTAGGGTACAATCCTATGTTTTGATATTCAGTTCCTTCTATAATCTTGGTTTTTATTCTGAAAGGTTTATATCCTTCGATTTTAAGTCTAAATGGGCACCTGCTGCTTAGAGTGGCCAGGTACAGAAGAGGACAGAGTGCTTGGACCTAAACAGTTCCACAGGAGGGAAAATTCTAGATGTTTTTCAATGTATTGAAATTTTAGTAATTTTATGGACATTAGTGTCACCTTGTCATGCTTTAGAATGACCTGTTAAATAATAATTAGTACTACTACTATGTTGTTTATATTTTGATGATGGCTTTCAATTTTTTGCTGTATTTCTAATGCTTTGTCTGACTATTTGGCAGCTTATAAAAATAAAATAATAAAATAAAATAAATTTTGTCAGGGCCATTATCATGCAAGTGTAAGGGAAGTGCTACCTGCTGAAATTCCCTTCTCTATGCAGTCTATATTAAAAGTACAGCGGCCTTTTCCTTCATTGCTTCTCGGCTGCTTAACTATCTCACTGTGTCATAACTAGCAGCATGATGCCTATTATGTAATGGGAGATAGCTTCTGATTGTGGCTGGTATTGATGAGTACAATATAAATAACGCGCAACTGTCTTGTTCTTCTTCTTCCCGCCCAACACCCTCTGTTTCCAAAGTGCTTATTACTACATGATGCATGATTCCTTTGATAGCTGCACCCTAAAAAATCATCAAAGGAGAAGGTTGAAGAACAGTGCTGTTGAAACGTGTGTGTTTTTTTTTTCCCTTGAATATCCCTTTAGACTAGTTCTGTAGCAAACCTCTAAACTGCTTTATTTTAACCTAGGGAAAGTTCAGGTCAGGGGTTTGCATGGAAGGCAACTTGTAAACTTTTAAAAAAATGTTGCAGAAAGCAGGCTTAACGCTGACCTGGAAAGGGTGATCCAGAGAGTAATCAAAGGATAAGATGACATCTACTTTCCTTTCCTTCCTCAAGAGAGGAGGACAACTGGTATTGATGAAATATGCTGCATCAACTAAGCAGATGCTGTCTTCTGATGGTGTCAGTCTATTAGGGATCTGGTCTAGTCGAGTATCTGAAATGTAAATTCAGTAATAAACAGCAATCTAATTTAATATGATTCAGTACTCCATATGTTTGACCCCTGAAGATCCCAAATATGTTTCAGGACAATGCTCCCAGAAGCCCTCGAAATAATAAATTGGTAAACATGTAAAGACAAACACAGACACTTTAATTCAGTGGCGACTTTGAAAAGAACTGACACCTTCACAAAACATGCTGCCATGAAGCAGTTAAGAACAGAGCTGCTGTTCAGGAAAGGAACTATTGAAAGAGCAAGGTTGGTTTAATGGAAAAATACATCGCATTTGAAAGCACAGGAAGAAGTTAGGAAAAAAGGTCATACGAGCTGCTTGTGATGGTTGATTGATTGATTGATTGATTGATTGATATCCTGCCTTTTTCCTACAAAGGGCTCAAAGCAGCTTACATCATTCACCTCCTCCATCTTATCCCCACAACAACAACCCTGAGAGGTAGGTTGGGCTGAGAGTCTGTGACTGGCCCAAAGTCACCCAGTTGGCTCCATGGCTGAGCGGGGACTAGAACCAGATCCTCTGACTCCAATCCCATGCTCTTAACCACTACACCACACTGGTTGAGGGTATGGTGCTTCCCTCTCTCTCCTCTCTCTCTCTCTCTCTACACACACACACACACACACATCAAATCACCATATTCCTAAAGCACTGAACAGTGCAAAGTATGCCACTGTCCCTCCTGAGCTAGGACTTTCACCTACATCTAAGGCCTTTAAGGACCCAGGCCATGGTTTCAGAGTCCAGACAGGATTCAGGGTTATTTCACATATTACATAAGAACATAAGAAAGGCCATGCTGGATCAGTCCAAAGGGTCCATCTAGTCCAATGCTCAGTACACATGGTAACAAACTAGTGCGCTCATGGTTGAGTTTATCAGAAACTAACATTGCAGCTAGTCCCAGCACAGTGATGGATTTTCCTGTCTATAGACATGCCTGTAAATGTATGTTTATCATATTCATACTTCTTATGCATATTTAGAAAATCTTATGCTCCATCTAAGAGAAATGGAATGAAGAGATAGGGCTACACAAGGTATTTATTGTGGACTCAGAAATTTGTGGGGCATTTTCACAAGGTTGTCTTCTTCCAGAGGTCCTCCTGCATTTTCCAGCTTTTGGGGCATTTTTTAAGAGTGAAAAATGCCTGGTATGAAATTTAAAAGTGGGACAAACCAGAACAAAAGTATTGAGTATTGCCACAAATCCACAATGCTGCAGCTGCTTTGTGCTTTATTTATTTACTTCATGGTTTATTTCTAGACTACATAGGAAGGTTAAAAAATACAAAAGCCAGGAGAAAGAAACCATGTAAAGGATTCATGTTTCCTCCTGTAACGAAAATGGAAGAGCCAAGCTATGGGTTAAAGCCCCCATGTGACGAAGCATTTCAGCCCTGAATCTCTGTCATGAGAGAAGGTGGGAAGCAGGACTTTCCCAATGCAGTTAAATTTTTCAGATAGACTCTCAGACCCAGCTTTGGGAGATGCTGGGTTTGTAGATATTTAAGAATGTAAAAGTTAATGTTTTAGGCATGGGTATTTGAAAGCAAAAGCCACAATGATATTCTAATTACTAAGAAACCCTACCTTCTTTTCTAATTAAATTGCGAGAATTGTAAAGAATGGAAGGGGGGTTTGTAGCATCACTACAAAAAGCAACAAACTGCTTGAAAAGTCAGTGAGAGACTATTGGGAATGGGATAACGGGAAGCAATTACCTTTCCACATAGAAAACTGGCTCTTCTGACAGTAGTCTTTATGCATATGGAACCCTTTAAGGAAGTTGTTAATGTGATGGTGCAATGGACGATCAGTTAAAATGTCACTTATGATCTGAAAGAGCTTCCCATCAGAGCACATCCAAGAGTTACCCAAGCAAGTAGAGCTTTTCTGTGGAGTATAATTTCTCTCTGTACAAGAGAAATGAGAAAAGGAAAAAATTATAAAAGAAGTCTTGTTACTATGCCATGACACTTCACCTGAAGGACTGTGCTCAGTTTTGGACACCACACCTCAAGAAGGATTTGGTTAAATTGGAATAGGTACACTGGAGGACACTGAATAGCCTCAGGGGTGGAGAAAACAAGTCCTACGAGGGAAGGTGGAATGAGCTGAGTATATTTAGCCTAGACAAGTCTGAAGGGGTCATGATAGCTGAAAGGTTGTCATAGGTGTGTTCTCGGCAGCCCGGGAAAAGCTACTGGTTACAAGATTTTGTTTGAACATTGAAGAGAAACACGTTGACAGTAAGAGCTGTTCATCAGTACAGCTCACTACCAATTGGGGAGGAGGCTTTCCCGTGATGGAGGCTCTCAGACAGAGGCGAGGGAGGCATCAGCTGAGGAAGGTCTAGCTCTTGCTTTCCTGCACAAAGCCAGGGCTGGGACTAAATAGCATTCATGTTCCCCTCCAACTCTACTGCTCTATAGTAGGGAGGCACCAATATGAGTTCTGGGAACTACTCTCACTCTCTCACAATCTCTCTCTGTCTCACACACACACACCACAGTGTGGGTGTTGAAAAAATAATAGTGCCACATAAAAGCCATGGAGCACTAAAAAGATCAAACAGAGATTGCAAACAAGCTAAATTTGACCCTTTGGCAATCTAGATACCTTTAAAAAACTCACAATTTGGGGGTGACAGCTGCGGCAGCAGGGAATGGTATGGGTATTACCCCCTGTTCTATAATCATCTAATTAAGCCAGCATGAACATGCTAATTCAAGAATAGTGAATAGTCAATTGCATTATTTGTCTCTATGCAGCTCTGGGTTCCTTAGAGCAGATGTAGATCACTGAAGAATAGCAGCAGAGTAGAAAGAACGTTCTGATCAGTATTGCTTACGGCACGCATGAAATAACCTCATTTTGGTACTTCCTTTGCACTCCTTCCTCAGGATTCCCATCCATTCCTTCCCCTAGAATATCTCAAAGCAGGCCTTCCGCTATCTCAGCAGAGATCCAGGCTCGGAGGCCTCTTGAGCAAGGCGCCCTCAATGCCCCCCTTCCACACAGAACTTGCCTTCCCACCACCACATCAGCCTTCTGCATTTGCCCCAGCCTCTTCCTCATCCTAACCCTTTTCAACCCATAAGCAGCGAGCCAGTCAGCAACTGGGCCCTGGCATCTCCTCCTCTACAAGTTTTTCTACCACTTTCTGCTTCAGCACCTGCAAGTTTTTCTGGTTGTGTTTTATGCAAAAAAAGGGCTGTGGGGTTTGTTTGGTGGGTTGCAAAATGGCCAGCAAACAAGTGGCTTAATGCTATTTGCACAAAATACACCAAAGTCATTTACACAAGTTATTTGTTGCCAGTTTGCAAATATTCTCTTGATGGTTTGAAAACAGCGTGCAAGTGGCAGTCTACAGATAAAAGTTTGGGGCAGGGGGAAATCTTTGATCTATCCTGCTTCCAATCACCAGATTAGCAAAACAGCAGGAAATCTGGTGAACTCGAGTGAGCCAAATACCGTTGTTTTGGTACAACCCTATCACAAGCCTCTTATTCCAGCTTCCCAGGTAATGTTTATTTCCTCACTCTAAAAACACAGAAAAAGTTACAAAACACAGAAGAGGCCCTGGAGGGTGCTGACATCATGTGAGTAAAGCATCACAAGTGCACACGCACAAAAAATGCCTCAAGTAAAGAAGCTCATAGATTTGTATTTAATCCACCCACAGAGAACAGTCCTGTGCTACGTGTAAACATTTACAATTCTTAAAAAACATGTAGACCATGGCTGTGAATACGTACATGCAGCCTTACACCACTGCCAGGGATATTTATGAGAGCATGCTTGTTTCGCTATCATTCCAACTTCTTTTTTTAAGCCAACAAAATATTCCTACCAATATTCCATATTTTGCTTCGGATAAGTTTCTGCCATGATTCATCTGTACTGCTCAGGTTATTCCAGATATCAAGCAGATTCACACCAAGGATGTTGCTCCATAATGCTGCAAAGCAAAACATGTTGCATCACTCATCCCAGAGTTTCATATGAATGAACTATCTCTTGTCTACCCCACCCCCATTGCCAACTGATAACTCCTACCAATGATAGAGTTGATTGTCAAGGTGCAGACAACACCGCAATCATGAAGCAAGCCCTAGGCAAATCACCCAGGAAAATCAGTCCATATTTGCACAGCATATGTATGTATGTATGTATTTATTTATTTATTTGGAATACTTATATGCCGCCCCATTCGCAAAAGCCTCGGGGTGGCTTCCAATACAAATAAATAGCTATACAAATACATTAAAAAAAACTGGAAACATCCCGGCATAAATATAAAATCAATAAATAAATTCAACAATTAAAATAACATTTAAATAAAAAGGTCTTCGCCTGGCACTGAAAAACAAATAACGACAGCGCCAGGCGGACCTCTCTGGGCACCGCATTCCATAGGTGGGGTGCCACCACAGAGAAGGCCCTCCTCCGGGTACTCACCCTCCTAATATCTTTCACGGAGGGTTCCCAGAGAAGGGCCTCTGCAGCCGATCTCAAGGGATGGGAGGGCAGATATGGACGCAAGCGTTCCTTTAGATGACTCATCATGGTAGGTAATGAGTTATTGTGACATGGAAACCCAGTTTCTGAGAACTAAAACCATGCCTCCAGATGAGTTTTTTTATACATACACACACATTATGCATTTCCATTGCCTTACCAACGTGCATAGGTAATGGAGGTCTTAAGAAAAAAATATCATTTAAAGTGATGTCTGATTTAACTCTAATACACACAGGAAATCCAAATACTGTCATTATCTATTTGCAGCTCTCCTGAGTTTCCCACTGCTTTTTTCACCTTTTTTCTTAAGGAGGAAAAAATCCCAAATTGTTGCACAATTTCTTTTGAGTCTTAACGCCAGGAGCACCATCTGGAAGTATCCGTAGATGGAGAATGCTATTACAGTCTGTTTCCTCGAAATCCTGGTAATTAACTAGCAACTCTTATTCGATAATCTTATTTCTGTCTATTACAAACCCATTCCACAATATGATATTTGAAATCATTTCATGTCAAGTATCATATTCTTGAGACAATTACCTTCTAAATAACAAATCCGGGACTCTGGGTTTTTCTTCATTAGCTGCCCCATGAAGAATTCGCTTCCAAAATCCTCTGCATGAATGAATGCACCATATTTCAGCAAACCAACTTCATAAGGAGAAAATTCACACCATTCTGTGAAAAGAGTATTAACATGCATGTTATCTAACTGTGGAAACAAGCATGATAACATAAAAATCCTGCTAGGCCATATTTTTTATTTTATTAAATTTGCCACACTAATATCACCATCCTTATTCCAAGGAGCTTGGAGTGGCATACACAATTTTAGATGTATAGCTTGCAAATATCTGATGGAGGTAATTATTTCTGTACTCATTAATTCTCACAGTAACCTGTAGGTCTGTCTATTGTTACTTTTGATTTTTTGATAAGAAATGAAATGGGCAGAGGAGAATTGCTGCAGTACAGATATTTATTTATTTATTAAACTTTGTATGCTGCATATTGTGCCATAGCATCTCTAGGCAGCTCACAATCAAAATTAAAACTATTATAAAACTAATTATACAACTAAAAACATCACAACCCCTAAAATCCATAAAACAACTTCAATTAAAATACAGATAAAATATGAACAAAGGCTCCAGGGCACATATAGCTGGAACTGTTGCTCAAGATTAGCAGCACCACAGTCTACAAAGAAGGCTCTGGTTATACCCACACACTTATCCCCACTCCCATTGATTTCCTTAAGTGGTACCAAAACATCTCAGAAAATGCCTGAGATTTTTTTCCTTTTCTCACACCTGCACCCTAGAAAAAGGTTTTTTCTACATATTCTGTACCTCATTTTGGTTTTGTTTGTTTGTTTGAGAAGGAAAAAGCACAGCTCTATGCCCATGCCACTGTTAATGGTGGGCCCCACACCAAGAACCTAGAGATTTGTTCCTTCTGGAAAAATTCAATAAAATGGCCCCACCAGTTTCTATGCTACATACAAGTTCTCCTAAAGTCAATTAATCTCTGTTCAAACTACAAAACAATCAAATTCAGGCCAAATTCCCTAAAGATGAGGTAAACTGAGGATGTTTTGAAATCTCCCTCATGGAGCTTAAAAGAACCTTACATCTGCCCACATTGTTGGATGCAGAAAGATTACCTCAGGAAAACAGGTAAAGAAGAATAACTATCATTTCCACCCATTCTTCTGTACTGTAGTTACAATTTCACTAGAATTACCTTTGAAATCAAAAGTAGAGATATGGTTTTCTTTCACACTGAGGGCTAAATAAAGGGGTAGGGGATTCTGCCCTTGACTCACAGCTTGCTGCTGATCGGAGAGTTTACAATTGTTCACCTAATAAGGGAAAAGAAATTAATGATCTGAAAAACAGAGAGAAAGTAAAAAAAAAACAAAACCTCATAGCTAAACAGACTGTATTGCTAGGGAATGACTGAAGCTGAATTGTGTTTACTCTTCCTAAAGTGTTTTCAAACTTATTATCTGGTTTTGACCATCTATTTCCATCTTGCCACTGCTTTCTAGGAGGGGTGTGTGTGTGTGTGTGTGTGTGTGTGTGTGCACTCGCGCGCGCGTGTGGAATATCAGACTAAAGAGAGAAGAATACAGAAGGAAGAAGGAGAAAGAAAGGATAATTTTGATCTAACCTGGATAACTAAAAATTAAATAACATAAGTATCCCTCCCAAAATGTTATTTATTCATTCATTCTATTTATATCCTGCCTTTATTCTTTCAAGGAACTCAAGCTGGCTTACATAATTTTCCTCCTTTCAATGTTATCCCCACAACAACAACCCTGTGGGGTAGGTTGGGCTGAGAGTCTGTGACTGGCCCAAAGTCACCCAGTGAGCTCCATGGCTGTGTGGGGAGTAAAACTCAGATCTCTTTAGTCCCAGTCCCTGACGCTGTCTCTGATTTGAGGATATTTTCTATCCAGCCTTGAAAACCAATTGAAATACCCCTCCCCAAATATGTGTCAGATCATCTGAGAAGTGTAAAAGCTGAAGAATAATGGGGTTCCAACATGCACAGGAGGAAAATGCGGATTAAGTCAGTTCCTATTGGAATTTACAGAAGTTTAATTCCTCAGGCATCACTATTTGACTATTACTGAATAAATTTGTTTGTATTCAGAGAAAGGAAATTTTAAAACAGCCTGAGAGGTTACCTCATCTTTAGGAAATCCATATATTTGTTTGCGTGTTTTATTTATTTTGTAAGTTAAATATTTGTAAGTTATTACATATTTAAAGAAGGAAGAAAGTGTTCCAACAGTTACATACCCTATCATGCAAGATATTGTCAAGAGCCATAGCCCATAAAGTATTAAAAGATGTAGAGATGCCCTCCTTAGCATTCTGGCTCAGCTCCTTTTGATAACTCCTCAGATGCTCCAGAGAGAAGGTGTCCATCTTGTTTTTTGACATGTGCCTCCTTGCCTCACGGATCGGCCTTTCCAAATCTTTTTGGGACCAACTGGAATCTTCATACAAATTTGACATGGCCCTAGACAAAGGGTTATAATCATTTTTAAAAATCAAAAGAAGCACATGACAATAACACACACTTCATTGCAAAGGAACCATATTTGCTTTGCTGAGACCTTGTTTCAGTGTTATACACAACCAGGGACAATGGAACTATGAATGAGCCATGCTTCTGTTTAACAAATTTGCACTGTGATGCTTGAAGTGGCATGCATGGCTCTGAAACACGTGCTCTGGGTGATCATGCAACTATTACTAAAATGTTACACCAGGACTACAAAAGGCAGAAGTTCAGCCAGACATTTCCGGTTTCCCCATTTCTGACCGTGCTATTCTAAAGATAATTTGGAATAACATATCAGAATCTGTCATAGACTGAGCATGGACATTCTTTATTCTACTTCCATTCCTGACAAAACATTGCTCAGGAAGAGTAGATTATGCATGGATACTTTTCTATGCTCCTTATGGATACCTTTTCTTGTTTCAGCTATCAACTCCAGGATTCCCTCCCCATTTCATGCTTGTCATCTCACCAAGTGGAGCCTGAGGTGCCACTAATGTAAGTTACACTGTCCAGAAGACCCAGCTTCTTGAGTCCTGAGAGCTGCCCATAAAGAGATGTCATTGCTCGGCATCCGCCTCCAGTTGCCATGACTGCCATTACTGGAATCTGTAAAAAAATATGCATGGCTGTGAATACATGCATTGGCACTTTCCCATGGCAGAGTATCAACTGGGACTGCTCTTCTCCACAACACTAACTGCCGGGAGATGAGCGAACCAGCATAATAAATAGCACCTCTGTTGAAAAACAGCATTAATTCCCATTCTGTTGCCACTCTGCCAGAGATAGCTGCTTTGATCACACTACTGCCTCCAAAAACCCTTCCACAGGTTCTTTGGCTGATGCTGGAAGGAAGAAGAGATGCTGTGTTGAGGTCTAAACCCATATACAAATGATGCTCATAGTAGGCTGTATCCAGTGGAAGGCGTTTTGTGCAAAAGGACCTTTCTCTTCCCCTTCGCTCCACTGCAGCTCTCCATTCCCTTAAAAGCCTTTTCCTAAAAGCCTTCCCCAGATGGTCAGGAGGATCGTGAACAGTGGTGGCTGTACCATACAGGGCTGTGGTGAGAAGAGGTGTTACCCAAATTTGAGCAGATGGTAACTTGCACCAGGCCTTTACTCACACAAACTGTGTGCATTGTGAGCCCCCATAGCCAGGCTGCAGTGCAGCTGTGTTGATCCATATCAACAACTTTGTTATGATAGTTCTCTTCTTCCACCAGGAGCAGGTATTTTCCAAAAATAATAGGTCTTACCTACAGAATGAACAAAACACTGCAAAAAGCATTACATTGCAAAGGATTTTTTTGGGAGGGAAGGAATCATCTTCCGCTCCTCACACTACCTGTGAGGATTGCAGCTAAATTCAGTGCTTAGGGAATTTTGAGGGGATGGCAGGTAAGTTCAGTGTCCCTGCTAGTAAAAAAGTGTTGGTGCTGCATCCCGTCAGGCTCTGGCTCCACTACATCCCTGCCCAAGTGGCCACAGGATACAATCCAGTGACGTGAGAGACATTCGTCAGCAGAAGATAAAGCAGAAATAGGAAAGGTGTAGCAATTAACAAACTCACAACACTTAAATGCTCTCTTCATTATCCAAATATGATGGAAGGATTTTGATATACAAAAGCCTAAGCAGTATTGGCTTGACACCATCATCCTCTCAAACTCTATCACTTCAATAAACAGACACTCACCATTTGCAACAAAACATAATATGCAACTCTTCCTGGGTATCACATTGAGGTGGGGAATACAGGGAATCGTATCTGAATGTTTCCCATATTAAAAACAACTCTGCTAACAGAAGCTAGATGAAGCTTCAGGAGAAAGTGTTCTAAGTTAGGGGTTCTAGTCATAATTTCCATTCTGCACGGCATTTGAAGAAAAAGAGCTAGACAAAATAATTGAGTAGGAAAGCAGTGGTTTACAGCAGAAAAGCTTTAAATTATCTTTAGCATACATCTTCCTCTGTTTCTTCTTTTTCTCTATATTGTTCCAGATTTGTTTTGCTTTCTTAAATCAATGGGTCTGCATATGACACAGCTAGAAAAAGATGCATGCTTCATGACTTGATGGACCTAAGCTGCGGCCTTCTTCACTTCTAAACGTGCCTTCTCTTCCTCTTTGTCCCATATCCTGCACACTCATACCTCATGGTCTAGTAGATCATCCTGGAGCTGAAGGACACGTTTCAGAGCAGCAGCAACCACCTGCTTTCGTCTGCGCAGAAAAGCCTTCTCCTCCCCACATAGATCGAATCCCAGACGCACACTGCAGTGTTTCAAACTGTAACATACGCAAAGAGCTTGAACGGCACTTCATCCAGTGACTACCGGCTTACTGGTCACATCAAGAGATCCCTTGTTCCTTTGCCTGTTCTCCGAGTGCTTTCAGTCATGCCAGAAATGCAAGAGGAACAGGAAGCCCAAACTGCTTTGCACTTCCTGTCAACATGTATTTTCATCATGTCAGAAACAGCACTAACTTACTTTCTTCTCCTCTTGGGACATGTGAAGGCACATTGTCAGGTGCATGTATTCTTTTTAAATTATTGTTACCTTTCTATCCCACCTTTCTTCCATCACGGAGCTCAAGATGGCTACATACAATTCCCAGCTGGTCTCCCCTCCAAGCGTTAACCAAATCCAGGCCCATGTGGCTTCAGCATGGTGCCTGCCTCATGTGCCTCCAGGCCATAATCTCAGACCCTTTGTCCATCCTGTCTGGGTCATCTCACTCCTTTTACTGCTGGCACAGCTGGTAAAGGTTATCAAGTACATGTTGTGGTAAATTTATAGCTACGTTTGCAGTAGGTTCTCAGCACCCATGCCTATGCATGAAAGAACCACTGTAAAGCTTTCCAAAGACCTCCAGGCCCCAAGTAGAGCAGGGAGCAGGAATGTCTATATATTTGGACTGCAGTTCCTATGATCCCTCACTATTAGCTACATTGGCTAGAGCTGATGGGATTTATAGTGCACAAACACACTCACTGGCATTAAAGTAGATAATATTTTTAAATTAACCCTCAAAAAGCAAACAACTCACATCTACAAAAGAAAAGAGAAAAGAGAATTATCAAAACTAACTGAACTCTTATCCATGACACTCTAGTTATCTATGTACACAATTTCTTTCATGCGGGAGCATTCTGACATGCAATCTGTCATTGATTTGGTGTGGCATGGGAAAAGTTTGACTGTGTGATATATAAACTGGTCTTCAGATTTTTTTTTGCTCTCTCTGCTGCATAAGAAGTCATTGCTGTTACACTACTGTAAAAAATGAACTTGCAAGTTTACAACGGGATTGGACAAATTCACGGAAAAGAAGTTTACATCTTTCTAGAATTTGCTGACCAAACCCGGAGGTCCTGCACAATGCTTAACCATGAAATCCTATCGTAGCACTGACAGACAATGTGTGCCATTCCTCACCACTGGGTATGCTGGCTATGGATGATGGGAAATGCAGGCCAAAACCTCTGAACACCAACACGTTGTCCATCTCTGCACTATTGAATCTGGAACATGGATCTAGTCCACCTGTGTATTTATTTAGTCTTTAGCATTTGTGTTTTAGCCCTTCATCTCAGATATTTAGCCTTTTTATATCTGGATTTTTAAAATCATTTAGGTGCCATAAAGTTCTATGTGTGTATATTTCATATGCATGTGTGTTTCATTTATTTGTTTGTTTGTATGTATGTATGCATGTGTTTGCATTTATATATGTATAATTTAAGCCATCTTGTCCTGGCATTGCCAGTTGAGGACATTCTCAATCTGAGTTATTACAGCTAGGCTGGGTTCTAAACCCCTCGGAAAACCAAAAGAATTGCAAAGGACATAACCAGAAAGATAAGAGAAAGTCTGGCTCAGTCACTGCATCTATTAGAAACATAGAAACAGAGTGAGTCAAAAGGGATCTCCCAGGCTATCTAGTCTGACCCTGGCTCCAGCAACAACATCCCTCCGCAGGGAAGTCATTATAGGTGGCATATAGATATGCGGATAAATAAATAAATCAAAGTGATAACTTACCAAGGCTGTGTCTTTAACTTCAGCTCTAAATTACTATCCTAAAATGAAGAATATAAACATAAGAAATTAAGTATTTAAGTATATCAATATTTAAATATGAAAATATGTATGCATGTATAAACCATATAATTCAACTTTCTTAAGAGTACAACTAAATAAAAAGTTCTTACAGGGAAAGGGAGAAAAATATTTTTAGCTGATTTTAATATTTGCACCCCATATGATGGAACAAAACAACGGTCATATGAAATCTTCCTATTGAACATCAACAGTGCCTTTTCTATGATTGTACCTCTGCATCACAATGTACAGACACATTTATAAAAAAGAAGAATTCATGGGAATTACTGGGCATTTTACAACTCTTGTGATATTGTTTTTTTTAAAAGAATAATGCAAAAACTAAACTATTCAAAACCATGAAGGTCGCACAACTGATTGATTGATTTTATCTGCCTCTTTTTCTAACATAATAGTTCTTAAAACGGACACAAAAATCAAATCAAATTGATGGACAGCCAATTTTACCATCAAAATAACAGATCCCAGGAACCGAACACTATATTTTCTCCATATTGTTATCTTGCTTGTCCTACTGATCCAAGAGTATTCCCAAAACCCCTGCTTTAAGCCCCTTCCCTTAGAATACCAGGTGCTATTGATGGTATCAAAAATAGCTGAGCAGATGCTCCTGCAACTACTTCCTCCAAAAAGTAGAGGGAGGAATTGAGGAATGAGGGAAGGTGTTCATCAGAGACCTTGCCACAGACCAGCTGGTACGTATCCCTGCTATCACTGCTACTGCTCTGTCTCCAAGTTCTTAACTCCCAGGGAAAGAAGTCCTATTCAGGTGTTTGAAATCATGAGACCATAATGGCTGAGAGTAAAAGCAAGGAACATCGCTGTTGTCCTCGCCCCCACCCTAGGCCTTACCCCACCTTGTTTCTCCATCACCCCCACCTTTCTCCCCACCATTCATGCATATTAAGGACAAACTCATTCTATTTCAGTCATCACAGCTAATCGTGTTAAAGCAACCCATAAAACCTCCTGGGATACCAGGAGTAATGTTGCTTGCTACCCTTTTCAAGTTCAGTCTTAAAACTGCAAATATCTGAGAAAAGGCAAATGCCATATGTTAAAGCAACAGTTCCAAAAGTGAAACTCTTACCTCTGACACAGGAACAGTTACTTTCACCTTCTGACCAGCAGAAAGTAATTTTAGAGGCATAATCACAGAAGCAGAAGACTTCTGCTTGTCTTGTTCCCCATTACTTGAGCAGTGCTGGGAACAAAGGGGAAGAAGCAGTTTCTTTTTATGTAATAAAAATACTAAGCATAAAGCTTCACAGGTTTTGATTTTTTATATTAAAATGTTCTTACTAGATATATAATATTTCAACCTAAACCTGAGTAAGATGGCTATCCAACTGTGGAGTCAAGACTTGCCATTTTTCCATATCATTGAACTGAGACATCAGCCTTTTATCTACCTTTGTCTCTGTCTCTGTGCAAACACACACAGAGGGAGAGAGAGCCATGCTGAATCAGACCCAAGGTTCAGTGTGTTCACACAGTGCCCAGAGGGTCATACCAGCAGGATATGAGTACAACACGGCCCTCCTGCCCAAGTTTCCCAGCAGCTGGCACAGACAGGCGTACTACCTCTGCTACTGGGGGTCGGACCTAGTCAGCAGGATGAACAGCCATTGATAGCCTTCTCCTCCATGAATTTGTCCAATCCCCTTGTAAAATTGTCCAAATTGGCAGCCATCACTACACTTCATGGAAGAAACTCTAATAGTTTATGTGCTGCATGAAGAAGTACTTCCTTTTATCTCTAGTAATTCTAGTACTAGAGGAGAGGGAGAGAAATGCCTCCCTCTTCACGTTCTCCACAGCATACATGATTTTAAACACTGCTAGCAGGTCTCCCTTTACAAGCTAAACAATCTCAGCCAATGTAAGATTTCCTCACAGGTCAGTTGCTATCTGAACCTCTGCTATTATTGTTTCGGTAATTTGGGAGAAGCTGTGATAACATGCCTAGGATTGTGCCCTAACATGGGGGAACTTGGAAGCCAGGCCCCTGTGCCTGATGTCCTGCAGCACTAAAGCTGAATGAGATCTACTCAGAGGTGCCACTTAAGTAGCCTTAAGAGGTACAAACCTCCCTGGTTAGGTAACGCATCAAACTGTAAGCCCGCTCTTCAGTCTGAGCAACTTATTTTCCATAGAGGAGCTCCTGCTAGACCAAGTTCCTGCTGCTCACTCTTCTTCACACTCTGCCTCTGGAACCTAGAGGCTACCTTGGATTTCACTGCCCCTGGCTTTTCTGTCCTTAGCTGCCACCTGTGCAATCTGACTGCTGGCCGTCCTTAGGTCACACCTCCTATTTCTGGCTTCCTCCTGCCCACGGAGCTCTCACTTGAGGTGCCAGCCCCAGTAAACTCTGACACCACTGTTATATCAAAATGTCCCAAAACCACTTTATAGCGCTAGATCTCTGACATGGGAATGGTGTTAGGTAGAACTCATTAAAGGCCAGGCATACATAGCACCAGTGTGAACTTGGTACCAGGATCCCTCTGTGCTGTAGACATCCTCATTTGCTAACAGTGAGGGGTGTAATTTGCAGCAAAGAAGTTGTGGGGAGCAGAACAAGGAACTACCAAAAGGTCTGTCCCAGACATTTTCAGCCAGAAGTCTAGAAAGAGTCCCACTTGCTTTTGCACCTGCCTACTTCACCTTTCCAACCAGGAAAAAGAGTGGAAGCATACTTATCTAACAGAATGGTGTGGTTCAGATGTAACAGGAAACCACTGATGACTCTTACAAATGTATGCCCCAGAGAGCTGTGGATCACACAACCTCCCCCTTCACTTTTTCATGTACCAGGGGTAAAGTGTCTTCTTGAAGTAGAAAATGGACCATAGTTCATGGTGTCCACATGCTACAATTATTCAGAACAAGCCAGAAATACACCATGGTTTCAGATCTTAATCTATTCTCAGTAATCATGTTTATTCAACCACCATTTTCTGTATGAAAACTGTAGTGAACCTGCAAAGGAAACTCCTGCATGCAAGGAGAAGGAAAGAAAAGATGTGGCACATTTGAGCCTAGGCCTTACTGTGGCACACTCTTATAGCAGGAAGCCATGATTTCTTGCAAAGGCTGAACTGGGCCAGTTGCTTGTCTTACTTTGAGCAGAGGGCGTTTTTCTACCCCTGCTTGAAGCCATATTGTTAGGTGTTACACATAATGCAGTATTTCCAGTGATAGTAAAATAACCTGCAGATCAGCATTTAATGATGGTTCCCAGTACGTTGGATAGTGGAACTGAAAGCACTGTTTCAATCCGGATTCCAGAGCAGTTCTCCGTGTATCTTCATATGATCCTTTCACTCTCAGCTCAAGGTCATCTTCCTCTACAACAGAGATGCCCAAATAAGTCACACCAGAAAGTGACAACACCATCTGGAAACCTTTGTGTACAAGTAGCCATCTAGCCATTGGATGGATAGCAAAACAAGCCAGTCCATAAACTTGCATGGGCAGATAACACAAAGAAATACCATCTAAAATATTCATGCTTCCAAACTCCAGTTTAACATTTGATACTATGATTGTTTATGTTTATTTCTAATTTAAGTTCTACCAAGTGGTGGTAGATATTGCCAAGGACTGTCTTAGCCAAAAGAGGAGGAACTGAGTTGCTATGAGCTCTTTCAGAGTAGATGAGCTTATAGTAGGTCTATCTTAGCAGGTAGATGTGCTCATAGCAAGAACCCTCTGGGAACCCTTCCTGAAGGAGGTTAAGAGGGTGTCTACCCGGAGGAGGGCCTTCTCTGTGGTGGCACCCAGATTGTGGAATGTGCTCCACAGAGAGGTTCACCTGGTGCCAACATTATGCACTTTTCGGTGCCAGGTAAAAACCTTTTTATTCACCCATCATTTTAAGGGATTTTAAATCGTTTTTAACATCAACAGTTGCATTACATTTAATTGATCAAAGCTGCCTTTTTTCCCAAATTACCTTGTTAGCTGGAAATAGATATATTGAAGGATAGAGTAAAAATGTAAAAAGCAAAATTAAATCAGTATCTGAATGTGAGCAAATTAAAGGGAAAACACATAGAATCCATATTTTTAGATCAAAAATATCCTTCAATTCAGTCCAGATATTAATAAGCTACCATAGTTTCTCCTGGGACTGCTGTGGCTTCAGCATGCATACACTTAAAATGAAGACCACTTAGGCATTCTGTATGCATTTATTCTTGATTCATGGTGGGTGCAACTTATTGTGCATCAATTCATTATTTACACAGACAGTAACAAATTGTCCATGTGTGTTGAGACAAGAGTTTTCCTTTAAAGCATAGTCTTCTTCCATGCATACAAGGTTTTTGCACATCTGGAATATCAAGATGCATCTTGGAAGCTAGATTGCACGGTGCAAGCATGATGGCATGAGTCATCACATAATGCTCCCCCTTCTGATTGGTTGTTTTTTTAAAAACATAAGAAAAGCCTTTCAGGATCAGACCAAAGGTTCATCTAGGCCAACACTCCATACACACAGTGGCAAACCAGCAGCCCACAGGATCCCTCAGGCAGGATGGGTGTAGGAACTCCACCTGCCCGAGTTCCTTGCATGCAGGCAGCCACCTCTGGTAAAGGAGGAAGCACCTCACTCACAAGGCTAGTATCCACTGATAGCCTTCTCCCTCATGAATCTGTCCAATCCCTTTTTAAAGCCATTCATCACTGCCTGCATGATGATGCTGTATGTTGTTGACTTGACATCTCCGGTCACCACTACAAAGGTGAATGCCACAGAATTTCTTCTCCTCCTTCCAAAGGAGGAAGTGTCACAGCAGTGGCAGTGATGAAAGCAGCAGCTGCAAGGACTGCTTCAAGGGAGTTTGGGGTGGGATTCTGAGTGATGGGGTGCCTGAAATTTTAGGGGGGAAATCTGTACACTACTTTACTGTGCATGCTCCAAAGCTTGCAATCAGTTCCAAACTTTAGGAACAATCCCATAAATGTTTCACCAGGAAAAACTCCATGCATGCTCCAGCCCTGAGGACTTCTTTCTCTCCAAACATGCATAGGCTTGTGCTCTTAACAACAAATTCCTACATTGATCCAGGCTTATCACAAAGATGAACCTATCAAATGGACAAGTTTCAACCAACATGCTGACTTGTGATGACATGACATTTGGCAACGTCACAAGTCTTGCTTTTATTGTCCAAATGCAACAGAATATAAAGATGTTGCTTAACCAAGCAAAATAGACAGAAAAATATGATTTTACCTAAGCCCATTCTCTTGATTCTAAGAAAAGAGAAAGGAATTGTATATCAGTGAAGTACTTATTTTTTGAGAGATTAATAGCTACCTCCACTTACCTTGTGAATATTTAACACTCTTCCCTTTGGTAACACAAACATTTAAACAGGAAACTGGACGAGACTGTGTGAAATGAACAATAGTGTGTGTTATTAAAATTTGAGCATCAGAAAGGATCAGGCATTCAGTTAGAACATGCTGTAAAAATAGTTCCTTGATGTCCTTCTATTACAGGTCTCTATCCCACTCTTTTTCATTCCTTCCACTACAGAATTAGAATTCACCATTAAGCTCATTCAAAAGGTGGCCACCAAAATAGAAAAAGAAGAAATATAAATATTACCACAAGAACATCATTTGTGATGAGGCTTTCAAGATGATCCAAACTAGAAAATGGGAGGAAAGGCACTTTAAAAAAAGAATAATTGCATTCAGTGCATTCATATTTGTGATTGATTGTTCCTTGTTCCAATTACCATGAATGTAGACCTGGCTGGAAAAGGATTAGGAGGAGGAGACTTCACTCACAAGGAAACCAGAAGGGAATTCCGCCCTCAGTGCCACTCACTTCCAGTGCGGAAGTTGCCAACTATGGGTTCCATCCATCTGAAGATATTAACTTGGGCAACATGTCTGTGCACATTTATTCAGAGGTAAATGCCACTGTGTTCAATAGCCCTTCACTGCCATTAAGTGTTCTGGTTTTGTTTGTTTGCTTGCTTGCTCTCTTGTTTAAACCCACTGCTTTAAGTTCCTTTATTATGTATTTATTTATTCATATTCCACCCAATATGTTCTCTGGGCAATTAACATAAGTTAAACACAATCACAAATTAAGATAAAATAACAAACCCACAGTAGCAATTACAGTTGAATCAGCATAAAAGCATAGCAGCAGTACAAGATAAAATGCAGTGCTAAAAATAAGAGTTAAATTGTATAAATGCTGAGAAAATGAAAATTTCTTCACGGGACACTGAAAAGAATACAAAGCAGGTGCCACAACCAAAAAGGGCTCCTCCTGGTATCCCTCCAGCCTCACTTCCTTTGGAAGGGGCTCCCAGAGAAGGACTGCCAAAGTTGACTTAGAGGTCTGGGTAGGTACCTATGGGATGAGGCATTCTTTCAGATAACCTCACCCCAAGCCATTTAGATTTATGAATGTTATTGCTAGAACTTTAAATCGGGTCCAGACTTTGACTGGAAGCCAGTGCAGCTGGGAGAGGACTGGCATAGTATGTTCTCATGAGCATGTTCAATAGGAGAGGGGGTTAATGGGGTTGAAGTTCCCGTTGACCTAGAAGTGCCTAAGGGCTCAATCCTACGCCCCTTGTCCTTGCCATATATAAGTCTCCAAAGCCTATGCTAAGCATGCAACGTGGTACAATGATTTGCGTCTCCATTACACCTTGTAGTGGGTATTTCATCTAGATGTCTACTTTCTACCATCCAGATAAGCATTGGGGAGGGGAAGAAGGCAGCTGGGTGCTGACAGGAATTGGAGAAAGCCCTCAAGTCCAGCATCCTCCCCTCCCAGCTGCCAGCATTTCCCTTTTTGTCCAACTGTGATTCAGAGAAGCGGTTCCAAAATCACAGGACCTCAGAGGTGGGACTACAACAATCCCCAGTCAATGTTATTAGTTTGCTCTGACTGTACCCAAGTTGCATTTAGTGCTGTTGTGTTAAAATGTACACATTAATTTGCTTTTTTGTGCATCACCGCCCTCTGCTGGATATAATCAAACTTGTTTATGCATAAATTAAACAAATGTAATAACCACTTATCTAATAATGATCTTGGGAAGTTTGAAACAAACTTCTACCATATTCATCATTCTTGTAATTCATTTCATTTAATCCTGCTGAGAAAACTCTACTGTCTTTTAATAATCAGCACTTCCCTGTGCTTTTGTAAAAGTTATAATAGCTGTATTTACTGTGTACAAGTAAATTCATGCCTGCACAAGCAACTGTTGAGAATTTTTCTCACAATACACCAGGATCTTTCAACATCTCACTGACAGGTGATATAATTAGTTTTACCCTACAGGTCTTGCTACTTTCTGCTCGTTACATTCATCATCATCATCATCATCATCATCATCATCATCATCATCATCATAATATGCCATAAAGACATCTATAAATATACCAATTTACACTCATTTATTTTGATTTGTTCCCCATTCCATAAAGAATCCATAATAGTGTCCCATTTCTGCTACTTACTTTTCCTTCACTCTGAATTCCACATCTAGTTCTTCATTTTTCTAGGAAGAAAAATAATAAGAATAAAGAAATTAGAAGAAAACGTGCCAAATGTTAAAAACAAAGTATCACCCATGTTTTTTTAAGAAAAACAAAGAAACAGACACATAGACCTGCACTGTTGAATGTTTCTGTCCAAGATTCCTGACAGCCAGACATGCCTTTTTCAAGGATACTCCAGTGCTTTATTTCTGCAGCCCCACCCCAGCTATCAGCTGTCATTTCATTCCCACTGAGCATACTCACTTGTCACTGAATTTTATTTATTTATTTAGTATAAAAGTGGCCTTTTAGCATAATACTCTCTGGACAGCTATTTCAATAAAATATTAATATTAACATTAATAAAATAATATAATTCAAATATAGACAAAATAAGATACAATATCATAAATATATCAACAAAAATTAAAATAAAATCAAATTAAATTAAATTACTAAATTAAATTAAATTCAAATTTAAAGTAAAACTAGTGTTGTCAAATGAATTCCTCAATGGGGATGGGGGGCTATTCTAAAGTTGTTTTGTACTTCTGCAAACAGAGGTTCCCACAGGCCTGTTTATATTCATCTCTTCCATATAATGGTCTAGCTGCAGCTGCATAAAGAGCCATACTAAGTGAATGGGTTCACTACAGTATATCAGGTATCCATTGAAAGGATGTATAGTTAATTGTCATCCTGGGCCTCTCCAGACATGAGAGACCCTATATTCCTATTATTTTCATCTGATAAAATCATCATTAGTGAAGCATGCACTTTCACAATCCTCTTTCACTGTAATATGAAACAAATATGTGAGGAAGGTGCTGTACCTCTGAATTCAGAATAAAATTTACAAGGAATGTCTCTCCAGGCTTGACTTCCCCAACATCAAAGAGAACAGTAAAAAGAAGATCATCCTTAGTGAGTGGGTCTTCATCATAAATCCTCAGTTCTAGAATGTTCTGAAAATAAGAAAGTTTCTCACAACAAGAACTGCAACAACCTGTGCATGCTTGTAAGCTTCAAATTCATCAACTGCTGATCTGTACAGGAGAAGGTATTGTGGGTAAAAAAATTAGTAATACATTAATTTTCATGATCAAAGAACGCCAATCCAAAATCCATCCCTCTCAATTCTCTTGAGAAGCTCTGAATACAGATTCTCTGAGACTCAAAGACAAGAGATGCTGATTTCCTACCTTCACTTGCCTCTGTATCATGAAATAGAAGGTTTCATTCCACACAGGCACACTGGAATTCTTGATGGTTTCTGTTTTCACTTCCTCCTTTGAAGCTGTTGGTAGCCTCAGTGATACATAGCAATCTGCTCCACTCACTAAATCAGAGAGAAAAACTTTCTTACTACAAGTCTAATCCAAGTACTAAAGGCCCAGTATTGGAAAACACCTCCAGGGTACATCTTTAAATCCTATTAAATTTGTGACCTGAGAGATAAAGAAATTAGATGGAATTGGTGCTACTGTCTTCAGGGTCAAGCAGCCTAAGGTTCCTTTCTATCATATAAGGGAAAGTTCACTATTCACCTCTATAGGGAAAAGTAAAAGTCTGTATTAGGGACATTTCTGGATGAAGGCAAAATCCTGTCCTTTATACACACACCCCACACCCTAACCGTCACTGACAGATTTCGTGTCTACACTGGGGCTCTGCGTTCTGTACTAACTACAGTCCCTCACACTAGCAGTAAGGAAACAGTTCCTCGGTTTGCATTTCAATGCACATTTACCTAATTTCACACTTTCAAGCCTCTCTACAAATCAAAACAGTTGTTCTTCAAAATTAGCACTTCTCCAAATTTTGGAATGGAGCTTTCCTATAAAAGAAAAGTATACCAAATGTGTGTTTTTGGAGAAATCATATCAAAATGCATTATATTAGGAAAATTGCTTGCAAAGAAATGAATGTTAGGCAAAAATGCAGAGAAGATGCTTGTATTCAAAGAAATGTGCAAGGGAAAAATCATATGAATTTTAATTTTAGAAAAGTTATCAAACAATGAATCAAAGTTGAGAGTGGAGAAATTCCTCAAGATTGAAAAACCAAGACTGGAAAAATGAGTAACTGAGAGAAACCTAAACTGACAACTTTGTCCATCCCTGCATCCCACACCCATTCACAGATAACTTTTTTCAATAGCAGGCAATTTGTAAATTGCTAATAATTGACTGAGTTTTAGGACCAGATTTCAGATTTAGCATATACTTTGCTACTGATCAGAGTCTGAATTTGGAAATCTATTCTTACCATCTGTTGAAACGTTTCCTGGTTTTGTTTTTCTAGTTTTTGTTTTCACAAGTTCTAATTTTATGGAAGGAGGACATTGGACAATCTGTAAGCGATGGTGTACTCACACAAGTCTCCTACGGTGATATTTCTAGCTTGCAAGATTTTCACAGTAAGCAGAGAAGTTGGACAGGCTTGAATCTGCCAAGCAAAGACATGACATGACATGAAGTCACAGGGCTGGACTGAATTGCCTGCTCCACAAGACATCAGCAAAAGGGAACAGAACAGATGAACATACCTGAATTTCCCAATAAAGCTTCCCGTGCTCCAGGTGATGTTAAGATTAGATACACACTAAATGGGAACGGGGACTGCAGGTGGCGCAGTGGATTAAACCGCTGAGCCGCTGGGCTGGTAGATCGAAAGGTTGCCGGTTCGAATCTGCACAACGGGATGAGCTCCTGTTGCTCTGTCCCAGCTCCTGCCAACCTTGCAGTTCGAAAGCATGCAAATGCAAGTAGAAAAAAAGGTACCCCTTCGGTGGGCAGGTGACAGTGTTCCATGCACTTTGGTGTTCAGTCATGCCGGCCACATGACCACCAAGACTGTCTGTGGACAAACGCTGGCTCCCTCAGCTAGGAAACGGAGATGAGCACTGCCCCCTAGAGTCAGGCATGACTGGACTTAACGTCAAGGGGAAACCTTTACCTTTACCTTTACTTTAAATGGGAAGGGGGAGAAATTTGGAGTGTATAGGAAATCATGACGTGGCATGGATGTGAAAAGCTTAAACAGCAATGTGAATGGGATGTTAGAACTCAGTTTACACACAAAGTATGGAGGAATCTAAATATTCTGTCGCCTGTCTTTCTCCATTTATTTCCACAAGTTGCTCTCCTTTGGCATTGTGTTTGCATAGGTCCATCTTCAAAGAAGATTATTCAGAGTCCCACCTCCAAGATCCTGCAGGCCTGGAGCCCGGATTCCAAAGGTGTCATGCCAACTGCCTTCCCCAAGGTCACAAATATGCCTCAAAGGGGAGAAAAGTGGGCATGCTGGTGGGTGGAGGGAAGAAGGCTGCCCCAGAGACAGGCTGATTCCTCTTGGTGCCTTTCCCTCCATTACCCTGATACTAAAGTTAGTTGTCCAAAAGTGGCTGCATACATGAAATCTGGCTGTGAGGTGAGCAGCAGTAGAGATCACCTCTACCACACCTCATTCCATTTGGAAGCTTGCATTGCTTTGAGGGTGATGGTGATAGGATGGTGGCATAAGTTATTGATTCTCCATGTTCTTCTCTTCACCCTGTTGTAATCTCAAGCTGACCAGGCTATCAAAGACAGAAATGCAAATAAAAGAAGCAAATGAAAAATTAATAAGAACAAATACACAGTTGCCTATTCAGTAGGTATGCTAGTAGGTATGAAGGAACAGAACTTCATTTTTTTAATCGCACATCTGTGCGTGTGTGTGTAGGTGTGTGAGAGTGTGCACATGCTGGCCAGTTTTAGCCAAAAGGTTAATGATATGAATGAAGAGACCAGAAAGTTGTTCTCATTATAAACTGAGGTTGTAAAGTTCAACAGATGGTCAGAGGAATAAAGGAAAAAATATTTCCTCAGGTAATTCAGGAAACAGAAACAGAATTTCTCTTTGGAGAAATTGACTATCCTGGTTGATTGGAGTTAGGATGGAAACGCCTAACATTAGAAGATAAAAGCAAAATGCAGAGAGGCTGGGAAGGAAGGTAGGCCAGAATACTATAGAAAAGAGTCAGCTCTGCTAAAACTAGATAACTAATTGAGAGAGCTGAACCAGTTGCAGTAAGATACTGTTTGAATAAAGGGTCTGGCTAAAGTAGGGATACAGACTTGGCTAGCCTTTATTCCTGTTTGTTTTTGTTACCCCTTTTGCTCATATAGACATGTGTTGATTGTCCATACAGATTGTAAAACTTTTTCCTATTGACATTTCTCTTTAGTAAAATTTAGACTTTGCATTTTCTTTTACATTTTGTGGAGGGGAGATTCATCACACATCTAACAGCCAACCTAAAGTAGATACATGAAACCCAGAGAGTTTTAAGGCAGCTTTGATGGCTGTCAGTGAAAGGAAGTGATCCACCTGATGGCAGTAGGAAAGGAAGGGAAGGGCAGAAAGGATGATGGGCTTGTTTTGCTTGTTTTCTCTTCCATTTACAGAACGAGGCATTGCCAGTCTATGACAGTAGAATCCAAAACATGAGAGTTAAACTAAGACAAACTGTCCAAGCAAGAAACACCTGCCAACATGAAAGTAGCTCTCTATCCTGGAGGTGTTTTACAACTACAATTTTAAAAAGAAAATTGCTTTTAAATCTGAAATGATGTAATCTGATTTGGCAGGTCCTCCAAGCGGATAGTTTCTTTGAAATTTAGCACCATTTCAGCATGTTGCCTTTTGTGGTTCTGCACAGCATCACAGTTTTAAAAATACATAACATGGCCATGTGTCATACCCATATACTGTACTGAAGCTGAATGTGTGTGTGTATGTGTGTGTGTGTGATTTGCATGATGCAACTTTCTTGAAGAAAAAAACTTCAGATGGAAGAAGGAACTCATCCAACACAATAACATTCCCTATACATATAAACAGTAATGCAGCAGGAGCCAAAGAGGTCTTAATCTCTAGTATCAGAACTTTTCATTAAAAAAGAACATCAGCTCTTTGTTACAGGGAGTCTGCAGACATTTAGCAATGCATTGAATGTGTTCTTATGGAGGGACACAAAGAAATGCAGAAGAATGTTCAAAGGGAGTATCACCAGCATGCTGGTAGCACTTCAGGTATGTGTGAGTCTGGATGATTCCCAATCACAGGCTTCAGGGGCCATCCTATGTGCAAGAAACATGATGCACATTGTCCATAGTCTCAGTATTCGCACAGGGACTGGATACCTTTGCACTGGACTTCTCTTAAAATTAAATACACTGGATTGGTTCCAGATTTGCTGTTTTGCTTTATACTTTTTAAATCTAGATTTTTTCATTAATCTATTTAAGACTAGATTATTTCTATACTACAGTTTATTGAATGGTTGATTTGTTTTTCTTATTTGAATTTCCAGATATGATTTTTTTCCACAGTGGAAAAATAGCATATAATTAAATGAAATAAAAGTATAGTCTTGAATCTAGTTTTAAATTCTTGGCTAAATTATTCTAAATTTTAGGGAAGAAAGGAAACCCTGAATATGAGGAAAAATTAGGATTACAATATACCTTAAAGCAACTTTTAATTAGAAGTTTCAGTCTGAACCGTTCTAGAGTTATCCCTTTGAACCATTCCACACCATTTCATCCACAACCTACACTCTTCATACTAGGGTTTCTCCCTCCCCATGTTTTCTTAAATAAATTATAAACATAAAACCACTATTAAATACTATCATTTATTTCCTGGTGATCCTGTAACCTGTCAAAGGCATCATACAACAGAAACATCAGTTCTTGATCACTAACATGAGCTGTGCAAAATTTAATGTATTTATCTCCATGGGCTAAATGTAGGAAAATGTTTATATCTGATCTTGCACCAGCTATTAAAACTGTGACTCAAGGAATATAATAGACATTCCTTTCTATTTATTGTTCTGCAACTTTCATCATGTATTGGCTCTTTACTTTAATCTCCAGCAGAGATAGACAAGTTGAGACTTGATTCCAGCTGGTCTGCACAACCTTTGCATTCTTTGATCTTCCTTTGCAATTCTTCGTTTTGTGTCATGTCATTTTGATAGAAGTGGTAAGCACCAAGAGTAAGGAGGGAAAGCCCAAAAAGACCGACATAGGATCACGCAGTTGCTAGTTTATTGTGTAGCAATTTGCCCAGTGTTTGGAGGACTGCCTGCACTAGAGATACGGAGTTGTGTTTAGTCCCTGTAGATGGACATATTCTCCAAAAAGTTGATCAAGAGGGCATAAAATAAACTGGCACCTTTGTGATCCTGTGTCATTTTTCTTTGTGGCTTTTTTATATTTCTTTTTTATTTTATATTTATATTTAAAATGCTCTATGAACATTTTTAAGATCAAAGAGTGGGGTAAAATGCTTTAAAGCAAAAATACATTAAAGCAAAATAAATAAATTTAAAAACCATTTGCTCATGTGAGAACAATTCAGTGGGACAAGGCAATGTCGCAATCGTAGACCAAGGATCTACAGCTGATTCAGGCAACTGTTTCTCTGCTGAAGGCAGCATTCCCTCTGGGAATTCTTTTAGTTTTTAGCCAGTGGCAGGTGGGACAAAAACCTACGATCCTTTTGTCAGAGCCAGTGCTAAGTGGTACAATCCCTTCACCCTCTTTTTCACTCACTCCCTTTCCTGTCTGTCCCTCTTCCTGTCAGGGCTCTTTCGCTTTCTTCCTCTCTGCACAGCAGGCTACTACTGAAGGAACCAAAGCCTGGACTGAATACTGGCAGAGGTCTTTCAAACTAGGCAAAGGGCCACCTGATGCTAGTATTATTAGGTTGGGCTGCTGCTGTCATGAGCACCTCTCTCCCTTTTTCCCTTTCTAGCAGATCTAAACAGAATACAGTCCATTATTTGAGCTATACAGGTTCTTCTGATACTAAGTGCTTCATAAGAAGATTGTTCCCAAGACCCCTTCCTCCCCTCCTTTCATAAAAGGCTTGACTCCACCCTCAGGGAAGTTCACACTGCTTGTGGGCCAGAGAGTGGAAACACTGGTTGTTACTTAACTGGGGTCCTCATTCTGCCTGCCACCAGCTAAACACTTTACTTGTTACTGAACTGACACTTCTCCTTCTCAGACCTTCCCTGTTCTACAGTGTTCCACCCCAAAACCAAGGTCATTTGCCCCCCTCTCTACAACTGCACAGCTGGCCCACTACTGATTATAGCATCAAAAACCTGTGTGAAGGCTTTCTTCCACTCCCATTGTTCTCAAGAACTTCACAAGCAAGCTATTTATCAAGTACTTCTCTTTAAGGACATTTAGGCTCCTTGAATGGCAGTAGGCATTAGGTAGGAATTTTCCACAATACTCCTCCCAAAAAGAGAAAAGCTTAAAAAGCGGTAATTTGATGTAATGTTATGAAGCTAAAAGCCCATCTTTACCTACATAAACTTATTTCGTAATATTTGGTCAAGCACAATTGCAATCTCTCCTCACATCAGAATTGCCATGTGTTTCACTTATTATCTCTTAGAGCCACACTCTTCAAACCTTTATTATTTATATCTTGTGATTATATTGCCTGCT